TTGTTTTGAAGATAGAAAGAGACATCAATAAGGAGTTGTTGGCTATGAGGAAAAAAGATGAAATAAGTGAGAGTCTCTACACAAGGATGAGGTCTACTGGGGGGCAGCCCGCCAGGCTTTATGGGCTGGCGAAAGTGCATAAAGTGAATACCCCATTAAGACCGGTCCTCTCCTTGCCTGGTAGCTCTTATTATAACTTGAACAAAGTTCTTGCTAAATTTTTCGAGAAAATTGAGGGCGCAAACATCGAACCCAACTCACTAGATGCGAGAGAAATTTTAGAGAGCACTAATCTTGAGCCCAATGAAAACTTGATATCTCTAGATGTGAAGAGTTTGTACACAAATGATCCACTGAAAGAAGCGATAGACATAGCTCTGAGAAAACTGTATGAGCAAGATGAACCACCATCAATTGCTAGGAAAACCATGAAGAGACTGTTGAACATGGCAGTTAGTCAAGTCCATTTCAAGTGCAATGAAACATGGTACGTTCAGAAAGATGGTTTGGCAATAGGGGCATCTCTTGCCGTTATTTTAGCAAATCTTTGGCTGAAGCAGTTCAAAACTGCACTATCAAGGGATATTCCCGAAATGTTTTTGCCCGAGAAAGATTTTCACGGAATAGGTCCCGAGTGCAATAAGTATGTAACGTACAGGTCAAAAGGTATAGAATGTGAATGCTGTTTGAACTGGTATCACGTAAAATGTGGTGATATATCAGATGATGAGTATCGAAATATAAATGAAAAAATCTGGTACTGCAGAAAATACATCGCAATAAGGAAGAAAAAAGTCAGGGCAACAATCTAAATTGTTTCTCCGTTACGTTGATGATATAATGAGAACAGTGAAGGGTGATCCTGAAAAAGTGCTACGGGCTGCAAACTTACTACATCCAAATTTACAGTTCACAATAGAGACACCAAACACAAACGGAACTTTGGCTTTTTTGGATTTACAAATTAGTATTGACAAAAGCAGGAAAATTAGCTGTGGGTGGTATCAAAAACCAACAGATACAGGTACCATACTCAATTTTAGAAGCTGCGCCCCCCTTCACTACAAGAGAAGTGTGACTGAAGGAACTGTTCACCGGGTTTTCCGCTGTACGTCAACATGGGAAGATTATGATAAAGCCACGAAAATCAACCGTGAGCAGTGGTTGGATAACCAATATCCGGAAAGTTGGTCGTCGCGGGTTGCATCCCATGCCCTTGAAAAGATCATAAGCGAGGGAAAAAACAAAAAGAACATAGCTGAGAAAAAGAGGCCCTGTGATTATAGCAGTGATTCACCACCCACCTTGAAGTCCAATATAGGGGGAATCACAGTCAGACATTAGCAAAAAAAGTGCGCGATATCACCGAGGAAATTGAAAACTTGTATGCCCTCTCTAAAATCCTCCTTTTCCAATGAACTGAAATCAAAAGTGGTGTACAGACTTGAATGTTGTGGGTGCAAGTCCATCTATGTTGGCCAGACGGTCCGACATCTCACCACAAGGATTGAGGAACACCGAAAAGAGGATACCACAGTTGGACAGCATATAAGGCAGTGTGGTGGTAAGTCTGAGTTTAATTGGAAAATAATCGACCAGGCGTCCAGCAGCATCCGTTGTTATCGTCGCCGCAACTGTTGTTGTTGTGTTTTATTTCGGTTCTTCTGCCAAAATGGCCGTTTCTGACGTTTCTCAGAAACATGACGTCATACTTCGAAAATTTAAAAATTTGAAACACCAGAATATTCTAGCCTTCACAGTTTGGCTAATAGTTCCAATAACACTGCTAATCCTTCAAAACTGCTAATTCGGAAGGTTAGCTGCTAAAATTTCGAATCTGGGTTTTCGTCCATTCTGGTCGAATGTCACACTGGTTGGCTTGTTCTCAACAACCATCTGACTCTTTTTTTCCGGTACTAGTTTAAACGTACTCGTCCCATAAAAAACCTCCTTTGGAAGTGTTGTCCCAAAAAATTGCCAGTGGTCCCAAATAAAAAAAAAACCCATTAAAAACAATAACATAGATGAAATAGATGAAGTTAGCTTTTGTTGATGCTGTTCTCGAATTGGATTTTCAGATTTCTCCCCTAGCTATTTTTAAACACCTCTTCAAGTACTTCTACAATTTCGACAGTCGCATTTGCCAGCTGCATATACAGCTGAGTTTAAACTGAATACAAATCGAAATGATGCACAAATATGTTGTTATAAGCTTCTGACGAGTTTTTTCCAAACTGCTGCTGCCACAAAATAGTCTTTATGCCCATCAAACATGGTGTATTGAACTCCTAATATGGTTAAAAAGTTTTTCCTGCATTTTCTACCTTTTTTCATTGTTGTTTGTTTGGCTTGCCGTCACTGGATCCACAAAGTTTGCGAAATGATTCACCGTAACATTGGTATAAGGGGAGTTACACCAATTGTTGAAATTTGGTTTTAAGCTCGCCATTCGTCCGATTTAACGTTTGTCTTAGGTAAAATGAACCTCCAATTAATCGGTGAAAGAGTATCAGCAGAACAAATAGCAACAATCTTTTTTTTTCGGGGTCCATTCCACCTAAATTCATTGCTCTGGGATAAGGCGACCACGATTTTATTTTCGCTTTGTCATTAGTGACTCTTCATGTTGTAACGAGTGGCCAACTCCACCAATTTGAATTGGGTTTATACAGGCAAGTTCGAACAAACGTCACAAAATTAAAAAAACCCTTGAATAGTAGTTGCATAAGAGAATTCTTATCTTTGGTAATGCGGTAAAGTTAGGCAAAAGTTTCCAAAAGTTTCCCTTTCCAAAAGTTTCCCTTTTTTTCCAAAAGTTTCCCTTTTTATCGACGGTACTACTATGATAGAGTGGTCCCTCGAAAAAGCAACTATGATAGACAGGTCCCGCATGCATTTCGCATGTTATAATTTTGAAAACAAGTTTGTGTATAAATTATTCATTTTAAAAATTTTGCAAAATATGTTCAGCCAGAATTTTTCAGATTGAAAATTGTAATCACTATTGTTTATATATTGAAATTTGCTCGCTTTACTTTATTTTACGGTTCAACAGCCATATAATTGGGTTGACTTATTTGACATCAAAACCCACTATTGGCGTTTTTTTTTTTCAATTTTCAACCTTAAAATGTTGAGGGGGAGGTTTTAAGCGGTAACAAAACATGAAATTTGTTTGAAAATAAACTGCGACATATCTTTCTGAAAGGCGTAATCATAATTATTAAACGATTTGAGAGCTCTAGGTGCCTTATTCTCAAGGGACCTGGCTATTTTCAAGGGACCACTCTATCATAGTAGTACCTTATCGACTCTTTACCCTTGCGATAGCAAAGGTATTGCAATTGGGTACCAGACTTTTTCCCCGTAAACAACTCTGTCCACAGGACTCATTGGAGTCATTAAACTGGTGGTACCTTGGTTCATAATGAATTCAAAATTTGTAGTGTCTCTTGCACGCTTAGCCTGGTGATAAAGAATACGCCTGGGAGGGACGGCAAAGGTCCTGGGTTCAAATCTGACAAGGACCAGTTTTTTTCAAAGGGTGAATGTTCCGGTTCAAAAATAAAAACTTCGGCCTATTCTTTGTCTGCTTATGTTTTATCGGCTTAGTTGCCCCATCTAATAATCGTTTATTTTAGCTTAAGATTTTAACTGCAGTTGTGTATAGCATTTTTAAGATCCGGCCGAACCAATATTTGCCTTTCACATTGGTTGTAATTTAACCAACTCGATTTGTTAAAATTTCTTTTTTGTTTTCCATCTTTTATTTATCGGTTCAATAAATTTCGGCCTGTGTAATATCGACTTAGTGGCCTCATATTGCGTCGTTACGTCGGAAAAAAGTTTTTGTGCGCGTTTGTGTGCTCTGACGGGAAAAGGGACTTGACATTTTTTTAAATAAGGAATTTTTCTGAATTTCTTTCCGGCATGATGGGTTTCTGTTTTTTTTCGACTTGTTACCGCTTAGTAGTTATAAATTCAAACCCAATGAACCATCTGGCGTACAGGTAAACAACTGCATGAGATGCCGAAGGTTTGTAGTTTGAATCCGGTCGGGCTTTTTGTGTTTTTTTTTCAGCTTTTTCGGATTATCATCCTTCTATTTATTTTTGTCGGCTTAGATCCCGTAGCTCGATGGTTCAGCTTTATTCCAAGTTGCTGTAACCCCCATACTTGAGACCGCAAAGTCCAGGAGTTCGATTCCTCTTAGACTTGTTTTTCTTGTAATTTGAAAATTTAGATTGTGTGTTTGCGTGTGCTTAGTTCCATAGAAAGGACTTTTTTGAAAACTTGGCTTCTTTATAGCATTCTAATGGTACAGGCGATTTTTTTCCGGATATTTTGGGCGTTTTTTGCAATTTTTAGTGACAAAAACGATTTTTTGATTTTTTTTCCGTTTGATTTTCATACCATTCATATTTGTATCGCAGGTGGCGCGAAGCTCAGCTTCGCCTCTGTGTTGAGATTTGTGTATCGGACAGCGCCAAAATGTCATTGGGCTTTTCTTTTTTTCACCATGTATAATTTCGGTCATTGCAAGATTGCAAATTTGACAATTTGTGGCGATTGATATGAGAATACGTTTTTCCCTTGAAAAATTGTTGAACTAGAAATAATGCCATTTGTTTTCATCCACGTCAAAAGGAAGTTTTTGTTTGAATCAAATTGAAATACTGTCTTTTGTTTTGTATCCTTTTTGAAAGCTACTTTTGTTTCCACTTATCCAAATCTATTGTCTCTGTTGAAATACTGTCTTGGAAGTGGTTTGGTCAGACCACACTCCTAAACGAGCTTTTTCATTGGGACTGACTAAAAATGGCGGGACCAGACTTCTATACGAGTACCTATTTTCCTTTCCTGCTTTTTTTACTTTACCTAATATATGAATTCCATTGACTTTTTTGACTGGGTGATGAAAGACTAGTGTAGTAACTCCGGTTGCCTTGATACTTTCGGACTTTTTTTAAATAAGACAAATAACAAAAAAATAAAAAGTTAATTCGGTTAAGTTTATTAGTTGCCATTTTCCGAAGTCCGAAAAAATGTCGTCTGTATACACTTCGCAAAAAGGATGCGACGATACAGGAGATGGCACGGAAGAAAAGCCCTTTAAAACTGTCGTGAAAGCTTTGCTCTCCATCGATGGCGATGAAAGCACGACTATTCTAGTTGACAACACGGGGGAAGATAGCTCAACTAAGCCATTTATTGAAATTTCTAATTCTCAAAAAAAGAAGCAAGTTAAATTATACCAGGCCGAGTTAAGAAAGGGAAAAGCTAGAGAGGTAAAGGAAGCAGAAGATGCCGTAAAACGCGAAGAGGTCCTGCAGGAAGCAAGCAAGATCTCAATTTCCGAGGATGCCTCATTAGAACCCGCAAAAGAGATTAAACTCCGCGACTGTGTCAACCACAGAGAGAAGAGAATAAAGGCATACGGATGGGTGCACAACCTCAGAAGGCAGGGGAAAAACATGATGTTTATTGTGCTGAGAGACGGAACAGGATATCTTCAATGCGTTCTATCTGAAAAACTATGTCAAACTGTTGACGCTATTCAACTTCAAACTGAGGCTACGGTTTTGGTTTATGGTGTTATAACAGAGGTTCCGGAAGGCCAACATGCACCTGGTGGACACGAGTTGATCTGCGACTTCTGGAAAGTTGTCGGCCATGCTCCCAGTGGAGGAATTGAAAGTGTCGTGACTGAGAAGAGCGACGTTGACCTTCAGCTGAGACAGAAGCATTTAGTTATCAGGTGGGACGAACACAGTAAAGCTCTGAAACTGCGATCGGCAATTACGTTCTGCTTCCGCCAACATTACTTTGATAAAGGATATGTGGAAGTCACGCCACCGACTATGGTCAAAACTCAATGTGAGGGTGGGTCAACGCTGTTCAGTTTTGACTATTTCGGCGAGCAGGCCTACTTAACACAGTCCTCTCAGCTTTACCTGGAGACAGTATTACCTTCTATTGGCGATACATTCTGTATGGCACAGTCTTACAGAGCTGAGAAAGCGAAAACTAGAAGGCATTTGTCAGAGTTCACACATGTTGAGGCCGAATGCCCTTTCATAACCTTTGATCAATTGCTAGAGCGGCTGGAAGATCTAGTCTGCAATGTCTGCGAACGGATTTTGGCGTCATCGTTCAAAGATATGCTTCTGGAAGTAAACCCGGACTTCAAAGTGCCGAAGAGACCATTCAAGAGGATGCTGTATACTGAAGCAATCCAGTGGCTAAAAGACCACGATATCAAGAACGAAGAAACAGGTCAATATTACGAGTTTGGAGAGGATATCCCTGAAGCGCCTGAAAGGAAAATGACCGACGCAATAAATGAACCGATCTTCCTGTGCAAGTTTCCAGCTGGAATCAAAGCCTTCTACATGTTGAGATCTGCCGATGATGACCGATTGACTGATAGTGTTGACCTCTTGATGCCTAACGTTGGTGAGATCATTGGGGCGTCAATGCGCGAATACAGACTGGATGTGCTTATGGAGGGCTATAAAAGAGAAGAGATTGACCCCTCGCCATACTACTGGTACACCGATCAGCGAAAGTTTGGAACCTCTAAAAGCGGAGGCTATGGGTTGGGTCTAGAACGTTTCTTGACTTGGATGTTGAACAAACCCCACATCAGAGATGTGTGTCTGTATCCTCGATTCAGAGAAAGAATCGACCCATAAGAGTGAGGTCTATCAAGAAAATAGCCTGAGAAGCATGAGCTAATATCGAATAATTGTTGTCTTATTGATTGTAAAGATATATACTGACGCTTTGAATTGATACAGGTGATGTTACGCTAAACGATTGATGATTTGATTTATAAATATAACTGTTAAATTGAAAAAAAAAAAAAATATTGCGCACGCTGACTATTGGTTTTAATTTGTTTCCTTTCGGACCGCAAGCCCACTCTGAAAGATATTTTGTGGTAGTCGAGGAGGAACTTTGTAATGAGACGTTTTTTCCTCACAAGTCTTTTTTTTGTCACGGTTTTTTTTTCAATTATTTAATTCGCGTATTTCGACCTATATTCTTTTGGCTAGCTTCCGTGATATTTTTGCTCTGTATCGCACAGGGGCGGATCAAGGATTTTTTCGAAGGGGGGGGGGCGGATTTTCAAAAAAATTTCGAAAATTTTGAGGACCTTTTTTTTTCACTAAAAGGTCCCTGTTTTCGCCAAATTTTCTGCGCCGCAGGCAAATTTTTGAAAAAACAGGTCAATGTTAGTATATATTGGCGCCAAAGGCGCCTTTAGAAAAATTTTAGGGTCGGTCGGCAAAAAATGGATTTCTTAAAAAGTACCAAAGGGGGGACCCTTTGGGTCGGCAGGGGGTCGAATCCCTGAGGGGGTATCGCAGTTTCTGCAAAGCTCCTACGTGTTAGAAAATCATTTGTAGCATTTTTAATCTACTATAATATTAAAAGTTTTATTTCGCAAATTTACATCTTTAATTCTATTTAATCCATATTTTTCCCTCTTTGAAAAAAAAAATGTTTTTTTTTTCTCCCGGTCTTGTTAGAAAATTTGCCTAAATGGCACGTTTGATGCTTTACATGAAATTGGTCTGAAAGTATTACGTTTGAGTGGCCAAATTTGAAAATAACGAAGTTGTACTCTGTATTCATCTTTTACTGCACTATTCATTTTTTGCTTGTTTGAAAAGTTTTCTCGAAGTTCTCTCTGCATTCTCGGTAGATTGAATTATTATGAATTGGCTGATCTCGGCTATACTTTTCAAATTCCTGTAATGTTTTTTTTTTAATGTTTACTTGAACAACCTTAGGTTTTTCTTGTTTCGATCTCACTTTCAGGATGTGTTGATCGTTTTTTAACTTGAATGAAATTTTTCAAAGATTTCTTCGATGGTTAGAAAAAACGTATTTTCTTGGCTTCAACAGAATGTTTCTGAAATAGTTCCTCTATGAGCTTCTGTTTTATTATGTAAGTGCAGTTTTGGAAAGAATTGCAGAGTAAACAGGTAAGTGCAGAGACTAGATGATCGAAATAGCTTAAATTAAAGGTTTTTCGCCTTTGAAATTTTTTTCAAGGGTTTTAGTCGTCGCAGATTTAAATTTTAGATATTTCGTTCGTTGGTCTTATGTTGGTCAATTTGTACACTTTTTTTATAGCTGTTTGTGTCTTTCACCCATGCAACTAGTTTTTTTTTCGTTTAAATAAGTTGGTTTACAGAATAGATACAGTAGAATTTGTGATCATCTTCAAACCTTTTGTCAACCAACAGAGAAGTTTTTTTGAGCATATCTGCATTTCAAATGCCAGCTGTTTTCGAAATTTGTAATAAGAATCTGCTGTAGTTATTACGCTTGCGAAAAGCAAGCGTTAGCCAATGGGAATATTAGATTTGTTCTGGTTTACTAACTTTTGTTCACTTAAATTCAATACTGTATCAAGTGAGAGATTTGGCCTGTTTAGTTTGGAGGTAACTTCCATGCTTGAGAAGACAAGGTGATGGGTTGGATACTGGCCAGGAGGGTTTTTAAATGCTTTTTTTAGCGCAGCGTGTGTCTGCTCAAGAATTTTGGCTTTCTTACCGCTTTGCAGGTTTTGTTTCGATGCTTATTTAACATTTCATTTTTTAATTTACTTTGGTGTATTTTCTCAAAAGGAAATCAAGACAGATTTTGAAAAATAGTTGCTGATTCAATTTTTTTAAATCTTGTCGAAAGATAAATTTCTGCGGCTTTGATCTCATTTAGCGGCTTGTATTTTTTGTGTATATAGGGTAGTTCACAGAATGAATATGGTGGGATTTGTGATCATTTTCAAATCTGTCAAACAGCACATTATTTGAGCCTATCTGCTGTTCAATTTACCCACTCAGTTAGTTTTTTTAAAATCTACTCGATAAATTGAATTTTGTTTAATAGAAATCGAGTCAAACATGGAAATCTCGGTAGATTCGTTTTTGACATTGTTTTCCATTTTTCGGTTTTTGTCTCATTTTCTGTCTGCGAGTTTCTCATGCTTTTTTGTGTTGTCCTGTCAGTCCTGTTTGTGCGAAGGTCTGCGGCTTCTCTTGTATTTTTGTTATTGTAGTTTGTCTTCTTTTGTATTAGAGAGCTGCGTTATGAATAAACTTACTGAACATTTTTTATGATAGCTAAATGCTTATACTCGTTGAAGTTAGTTCCGTGTCTGTTTTTTAGTGCTTGCTAGTCCAGCGAATTTTTGCTTCGCCTCTGAGTTGCAAGGTTTATTGCGCTCGGACTATTCTGAGCCACTCGGAGCAGTCACCTGTTATTTTTAGTTTGATAGTTTTTTGCCAGTATTTCATGGACTTAACGTACAGTAAGAAAGGTTTCCTGCTAATTTACTTGCTGTGAATGTTTGTTTCCACTCATAATTTGAACAAGACTGCTCGTATCAGGTCAAAGCCTTGAAATTCCCACTGCCCATTAAATGGTCTCGAATAGTTTTTTTTTGTGAATGAAATATTGACAAACTATGCATTTTAGGCTGATAATATGAAATTTTAATTGTCAATATTTGAGTTGTACATGAAATTAGTTTGCCTCAATTCAATTTTGAATGATTTTGCAGTGCAATGAAACATGACTGCTCGCATATCAGTGCAAATCCCTGAATGTTCCGACTGTCCCTTAATTCCGACTGTCTCATATCGAATAGTTTTTGGGAAAAGAAAATATTGAAAACTTGTAAATTTTGGACAAAATCAAAGTGTAAAATTTGGAGTCGTACGAAATTAATTCGAGCAATTATCTACCCTGAATTCAATTTGGAACGATTTTGTTCTGCGGGATAATTCGCCACGCATAAATAATTCGCGTTTACGCTCTCAACAGAATGAATAAATTCTTCAAAGCGCGCATAATTTAGTCCAGAACATGGCCAATTTGGCAATTTTCAAACCACCAGAAATTTACAAAAAAATATCGGAGGTAAAATATTGTTTTGTATTTGAACTCAGGAAGTCGATATTATTGGGTATAAAATTTTTTGTCGAAAACTTATTTCGAGCGGGTTAGTTTTATGAAGATTATATCAATTATAAAACATTCTTGATTCCAAAGAACTTGAACTTGGTTTATTTTCCTTTAATTTCCAAAGTTCAAATTCCAAATAATATCAATTATTTTTTTTGGCTTTCTTGAATTCGTTCGTTTACTTTTTTTTTCAACTTTCTGTTGGATAAGTTTTTGAAGTTGCACTGGGTTGGTTTTCAGTTTTTCATCGCCTTGATCATATTTAATTCTTATTTTTTCTCTCAGTACGTACTACATGTTTTGTGTTCGCATTTTTAATATGATAGGAGGGTGCTGGTTCGAAAATTTTGTTACTTTTTTGTAAGGTCGAACAAATTGATCCCAACACCCTATAAAGACCCCATTTTGTGCTGCAGGCATTTTTTTTGAAAAAAAAACAAGCCAAAAAACCTGTTTTTTTTTGGCCAAAATATTGCATAAAAAATATATATTGGCGCGGAAAAATTTAAATATCGGTCAGCCAAATTGGATATCCTAAAATAGTAACAAGGAGAACTCTTGGGTCGGCAGTGAGTTGAAACCCTGAGAAGGGAGGAGACGTCCCCCCATATCCAACCCTGGTGCTGGTATCTTGTTTTTTTTGGTGATCTTGAAAAGACCATGAGAATAATTTCTGATACTTCTTGTTCATAGGAAGCGTTTTTCTCCGCATAGAAAGAGAAAAAAACAGTATCTGCTTATGCATGTTTAAAAATCCAATGTCGACTATCCAATTTTGTCCAGTGAACAACACGAGGCTACAACAAAACCTGTCAAATAACTGGGAACTTTGTGCCTTCAAATCGATTTGCGGATTGGACGGTGAATTGTTTGGTTGTCCCAAATAGAGTCAGCAGAGTATTTCAATTTTTTAAATTAAGAAAAGATTTGTGAATATTTTAGTGGAATTACGAATTTATAAAATGTGAACATTTGAGTCTCAAATAACTGCTATTTGCTCAAAACGAGCTTGTGTTATAGAAGGAGGCTTCGTTTTTTGGCAAACGAATAGGAGCGTTTATGTGTAAGAAGCCTCGGTAGTTTTTTTTTTCATTTTTGCGATTTTAAACAACATGAGCTATACCGGTTTAAACCAGCTGTGTTTTGTGTGTATTGATGCACGCTTGTGTGAGTGTGTGGCTCCGTGGTGCAATTTCCAGCATTTGGAAGTTAATGTCCGGATGTCTTGTTAGAGACAGAATTTCAAACGAGTGGAAGGAGCTTTTTGAGATACATATTTTTTGGTTACATCGGATAATTTTACCAGCTAAGTTTTATTTGGATCTGAGAGTCATCAGACTGAGCTTTTTGCGAAATATATGAAGCATTCCTACGACAGTTATTGGGGCAAAAATGTTGCCATAAGTTTTCAATTTAAAAACAAGCGAAATGGCATTACGAATGAATTAAATTTTGGTATAAACTAAAAGTGAATAAGGTAAATCAACACGCTTTGCTGTTTAATTGACGCATCTTTTTTCTAGTTTTGGTGATTGTTGTTGTGATTTTGATTGACAGGTGTTCGAGGTATTTCTCTGACGTCATCGCTAAATAGAACCTTCAGACGATCGCTCGTGTTCATTCGTGGTAGAGTATGTAGTTCGATTACGTCATCTGGTTTCTGATTGGTCGAAGAACATGGTTTCAAATCGTGCATTTCGATCACTCGAATGCTCTCGTTTTGGGTAATTTGAATTTTGTTCGGATGTACTTGAACCTCGATGTTTTCGTCCAAATCGGTTTCGGCTTCGAGTGGGTCTTGAAATGTGCAGCTTCGGCTAAGTGCACCGCCAGTTGAAGTTGATTGGGTTATGTAGCTACGAGTGTCGTATGCGCTACTAGATGCTGAAATCTGACCTGATTCCTGAAAATTTTTCAAAAAAATCATCTTTACACTGAAGAAAGCAAGTGTTTTGGAATCGGGAACTAGATTTTTTCCTGTAAACAACTTTTCTTACACATTAGTTTGATGTTGCTTTTGTATCGAACCTTAACAAATTCCAGATCCCTTCCCTCTTAGTCTAGAGGTAATACAGTTGCCTTTGCTTTCTATGGTCTTGGGCTTTTTCAGTGTCTGACATCGATTTTTTCCGAGAAAAATAGAATAGTCTGTTTGTCGACTTATGACCTGTCATCTTCGCTACTACACCACGGTTTTTTTGCACTGTAAGCAATTTTCATGGTACTTTCGAGTGTCGATGATTAACTCTTTACTGTAACTTCTTAATCTGCTATTCATGAGTGGTGTTTTTTCGTTTTTTTTTTCAATTATGTTTTACGCTTAGAAATTTTCTTCGGTTTATGTTTTGTCGGTTTAGTGAAACTTGTGAATTGGCTTAACGGCAAAAAAAATGATTATTTTTAATTTGAATAAATTAGGTTAGGTCGGTTGAAGTATAAACGTTGAAATTTCAAAAACAATTTTATCGCTTAAAGTTTGCAAATAACAATTTTATTTCGAAATTTTTTGCTATGAAGAATTTTTGTCTGGCAAATTTTGAATTGTCAGTCTTTCGTTTGTCTTGAGTGTTTTCAGCTTCTTTGCCGCATCACGAAATTTACTTTTTATTGTAGTTGCAAAGGAAATGTTCAATGTAGTTTCAGAGGGGATGTTTAAAGTTTTGTCAACTTGTGTATGCTGCTCAAAAATTGTTGGCTTAGTTGTCTGATCACGGATTTTGCTTTTCCTTTGAGCAACTTTCATTAAAGTTACAAGTGTAAGTGTTGTTTTATCTTGTTTCGGGGGGACTTGAAACTTTAAAAAACTTTTTTATTAAATCATTTTTTTTCGGCTCAATTTTTGTCTGCTCAAAGTCTGTTTGCTAAGTTGCTTCATCTCTTTTTTCTTGCTCTGTAAGCAAGTTTCATTGAAGTTGAAAGTGCAAGAATTATTTGATGTAGTTTCAGGGGGACTTGAAAATTGAAAAAATAGTTATTCATTTTTGGCTTAACTTGTGTCTGCTAAAAGATTGTCGGCTTTGTTTTCTTCTGTTACTAATTTAGTATTCAAATGTCTGGCATTTTTGCCTGAAATGAAAGTCTACCGAGGCTTACGAACATTTAGATTTCGGTAGACTTAGTTTTTTTTTTATTTTTCGATTTAAATTTTTTGTTTGTGTTGTATCGCAGTTGATGCGGAGCTCCGCTTTGCCTCTGTGTACCATAAAATAAGTGCTCTCTCAGATTACTGTATGATTATAACTTCCTTAGATATACTTACTGGAAAGTTCTGGAATTTTTGGAACGCAATTGAGGAATCTGAGGAGCAGCACAGTTTTCTAAATTCACAAAACGGTTAAGAACATGGTCATGATAGCTGGCTGTATTTATTTGTTTTTTCGATTGATTGGCACCTGAAATGGTTTGTGATAATGGCTAGGAGAGCGAATAGCACTAGGAGTACTGGAATGCTGATACCAATCAGGACACCAACTATCTCCCGTTGACCTCTCCTGAACTCTATCCTGGTCGGACCCATGTGACCCATGCCCTCCAGAGGGTAAAGTTCATATCCTCCTATGTCATTTTTGGGATCTGTGTCGGTTGATCCCTTGATCTGGTAGTTGTTATCATTGTAAGCTACTTCTAGTTTTTCTAAAGAAAAAATTTGATGGCGCATCAAATTTTTCACGCTGATTTACATATCTTTCATAAAAAAAGCAATTTGCTGAATTTGACTGATGGTAATACGAAGGGCTTATTTGATGTGACAAAAAATAATCCTATTGAGTTTCTTCAAAAAAATTACTAACATCATATAAATGATAAAAACTTATGTTCCGGATATTAAAATATTCCGTCTATGCAATAAACTAATAAAAGCAAAAGTTTATGATGTCTAATTTTAGAACTGCATGAACAAGCTTGTTTTCACATTTGTTTCTCTTGAATATAACTATTTGGCTGTAATATACCATTTTCTGAATGCATGTAAAGTAAAACAGTCCGACCAGAGAACTCAGTTGCATGGGCTTAATTGATTTGACATTTTATTACCCCTTTTTTGTCGCTTAAAAAGTAACTAATGTGAATTTCTCGAGAAAAACTTAATTTTCGGATATCAAGATATTCTGTTGATGTATTAACTAATAAAGGCGAAAGTTTATTGTATCTAATTTTAGAACTGCATGAAGCAAATTGTTTTCAAATTTGCTTCTCGTGAATATAGCTACTAGATTTTAGTATACCATTTTCTGAATGCATGCTAAATGGTCCGAACAGAGAACTCGGTTGCATATGTCCTCGAAATTGTATTTGAGAGTGATTGAATATAGAGATATAGGCGTCTGCCCTCCACGCGGTGAGAGCGAGCGAAAATTGCCGAACGTCTGCTGGATTCGAACTGGGTTCGGAGTTGGAGTTGACATTTGAGAAGTACATGACGAGATACCCTTGCTCGGCAGACATGTAGTCTCCTTGATCAAAAATAAAAAATAATGTTTGATGTTTCACGACTCTCCTGAGTGTACTTAGGTCCATAAAAACGCATGCTTTTTTTCTGACTAGCTTAGCATATCTGAAGCCTTCAGTCTTATTCAGTTCAATTGGAAATCAGAGTTGAGTAGTTTAGTTGATAAATTGGTCACAGATTGAATGGACTTTGTCAACTTGTTCTTTTTTGATGCCATCTTCCGAAAATCTAAAATTTGCCTAAAATTTATGTTTTTTGTCTTTTTTGTGAAGTTTTGAAGGTATTGTTTGGAGTGATTTTGTGTGTGCCTGAAATGGTGAGGTTGAAGTAGTCGTTGTAGAAGAGAGCAGTGAAGAGAGTTGAGTGGGTGTTGATGTTGTATGAAGTGTGGAGGACGGAGATGACGAATGGCACTGGCCCAGTCGGCTGCACAAACTTACCCTCCCATCGTCCACCCACCTCTATCACGTCACTTAGGTTATCTGAACAAAAACATAACATTTTTGTACTCTGTTGATAAAGCAAAGGTCCAATTGATTGCTGAAAAATGTTGTGTTGATAACATTTTGAGTTTGGAGAAATGAGCAGTTTTTTATTTTTATTTTTCTGATCCAATTCGACAAGCAATTATTTAATTGTGAACTGATTTGCGAGTAAACAAGAGAACTGTAGTGAAGCTGAATAAAATAAGACAACAATCTGGTTTTGAGACTTACGGGCCACAAATTGATGCCATCGAATATTGTCACGAATCAAATCCGAATCATCTAACTCAATATTCTCTCTGATTTCGCTCTGTTTAAATGCAGTTTTGAAGAACGGATAAACCAACGACAGTATTCCGCATATGATTAGTAACAGAAACATGATTTTGACAATGTAACTGATTATGTACATGGGTCGTTTCCGTGATGAGTCATTGACAACTATAGTCGGGTTCATTTCTCCGTTCAAGGTCATTTTTGACTCACGGAAGGGATGCTGAACTCGGCTGACCTGACCAGGGTTAGCTGGCGAACTATTAGTACTTATTTTCCCAAAGTCTTCCATAATAATCCGAGTTGGTCCAAGAGCTTTTCAAAATAGTTTTGATGATAATTTAGAGCTAATTTTAGGACTCGGCTTAGTGTTTTGCTGTTTGCCAACTTGTCAGAACAATTTTTGATGATTGTGGACAGTTCATTTGGCCGAAAAATTAAGCGGCAAAGAAAATGCGTCTAGCACCATGAAACTCCGTCTGTCTATTTTTCTTGCAAAAGGAGTTTGAAGGTTGAAATATTGTCTTGAATATAATCTGGAAAGATATCTGGCGAATATAAATTTGGAATTTGTCGGAGTAATTCAATAAAAAATGGCCGTTATTTTCAGCTAGGAAGTGGTCTTTAGGGATTCATAAATGGGTCGTGTCAAATTAAAATGCCGTGGTAATTCAATAAGGGAAGGAGAACGTAATAAACGGTTTAAGTGTGTTTTGGGACATAGTCAAGAGATTATTTTCTACTGCTTTTTCCTGAATTTTGGGTGGGGAAAATTAGTGGGTGGGGATCTGATTTTACAGGGAAAAGGAAGTTACGAAAGCGCCTTGAGTGAGAAAAGGGAGAGGTTTGAAGTGATGTGGAATTGGGGCCAATCAATTGGTGGCATTGTTAGCTGGCCGTAATTTAATTAAAATTTCCGCAACAAACGAACTGGAAAACAAGCAGACCAATCTAAAACATACATGTGTCGAATCTCAGTCCAAGTTGCCTGTTGGATTTCTGGGGGGAATTGAATAAATTTCTACCCGCTTGCCTTCTAGTTGTGGTTGGTAATTTCTTCTCTCACACGCCTAATTAACTGTTAAAAATGAAACATTGTTCAGTCTATTTTTCAACCAAGTGGCGTACTGTCACTTTCAAATTCGTTTACTACTTTTTGAGTGGGTATGAGTGATAAGAGACAGTCTGTAACTTCATTCTGTTCAATAACAGGTTTTTCTAGTAAAAGATCTATATTAGGTTAATAAATAGAAGTAAAAACAATAGATGAATTGTAAAGCTGATCAAAAAGACGGAAGGAGAAATTGTGAGATGTTGCATTTCAATTTGGCTGGCATCCTGTGCCTGACTAACTGCAGGGTTAAGTGGAGGTATGGATTTTATTCCCGGTGGTCGTTTAATTTTATCTTTCTTCATTTTGTCAGTTCGCTATTTTTCTAGGCCTTTATTCTAGATCCCATCCATGGCCCTATTACAGTCTTCCAGCCGTAAAGATATTTAACCGACAAAAAAACAAAAGCATGTCAATTTCGTTGATTGGCAATATAAAAGAACATGCTTTTGTCAGCAATTGAGTTTTCAGGAATTGAGTTTGCAGCAATTGAGTTTTCAATGGTTGCAGTTAAGTTTGCTTCGAAAAAGTTCTCTGTTATTAAGATAGGTTGCAAATCGAACCGGACACATTTTGTCATCTGTTCTCTTTCTTAGTGTAGTCTTTGGAGTTCGTTTGTGAATCTTTATCTCTTTAATTCCATTTAGCGTCCCTTATTCTCCTGCCTTATCTTAAGCTAATCAGTCTCCAATGACTGGTCCATTCCCCTGCTTATCGGCCTCATTCAATCTGTCTATTGTCTCTCGAAGCGACTAGTTGCTACTAGTAGCATCACTTCAGTTGACCACCTAAGAAAATGGAGTTGAATCAGATCAAGTTCATGTTGGTTCCTAAGCTGCACGGCTATCCTGCACTGCTAATTAAATCTACAAAAAATTGGATCTACTTTTTCTATCAGACGATCAAGTTTTATTTTTGTCTCAAAAGTTAACAATCGTTAAGCATGGTATATAGTAGCGTATTTAGGAGAACGCCCCCCTCCCATCCTCAGGAAGTCGACCCCCTGCCGACCCAAAGAGTCACCCTTTTCCCCTTTGTACTATTTTGAAATATCCATTTCTGGCTGACAGACCCTAAAATGTTTCTAAAGGAGCCTTTGGCGCCAATATATAGTAATTTTGAGGGGGAAGCGCGCGCCAAAAAACGGCAATTTTTTGGTCAAAATTTTCCTAAATATGCCCAAAAACTCCTTTTTTGGCTGTTTTTTTTGAATTAGCCTGCGGGGCAACAAGTGTGGCCAAAATAGGGTCTTTTTCATGCTTTGAGAGTGCGCAGAAAATTAGTTTGGTCGACCTGAAAAAAAGGGTCGATAAATTTATCGATTTTTTTTTGAAAATCCGACTTCAGTAAAATCTGAGATTTGCAACATAGTAAACGGTGAAATATTGATTCCTAAACATTTCCAGACTGTTTTCCGGCAAATGATTAGAATTGTATTGGCTATCGGCTGAATCGCTGGCTTCAATTTTTTTTATTAGAACTTTTTGTTGTACTGAATTTAAAACTATCTAGTCTGAAGCAATTTCAATTATTTATTACTGAGCAAGAAAACGGCATAATTTTTAGAATTTTCATTGCAATAATTATCGTGAACGAAACTTTCTGTGACTTTTGCACAGCCATCGATTACCCTTGTCATGGGAGAGTTATTTTAAAAAATATTTTTAGTACTAAGTATTTACCCTTGCGATTAGCAAGAGTTATCATATCGCAACAAAAATATATATTTTTCCAGGTTAACAATTAGTTGCGCAAAGTCACAGAATCATTTTGCCCACAGACAGATCTGGTCAACATATATATTTTGAGCATATCTGCATCCTAAATTCCCAATTTATTCGAAATGTATGTTCTTGGTGGTAAAACAGCTTGGCATTTCCCATTTTACTTCTGTTTTAATTCTGCTTTTAAGGTTTTGATTAATTTTAAATCGGCGCCGTTGCCTCATAGTGACAAATTTAACAGTGAAAAAAAGTTTCTGATTCCTATACGTGTCTGTGTTTATGCTTTAAGTTTGAGTTTCAAAATATTTGATAGCTCTTTTTTTGTTAACATTATTACCCTTTCGATATAGCAATCTGTTACTAGACTTTTTTGCATAAACAATTTTGTTCACAGAATGGTCAAAATTAGAAATAGTAAATGAAGGTGCAGTTCATAATGAATTCAAATTTCGTTGTGTCTCTGGCACACTCGATCTAGAGGCAACGAATGCGCCTGGGACGACAAAGGTCCAGGGGTCGAATCTGACAGGAAATTTTTTTTAAAACTGGAAATAATCCGTTTCGAAAAAAATGTCTGCTTGTGTTTGAACAGCATTCGATGAGCAAATGTTGTCTGCTTCTGTTTTGTCATCTTAGTTGCATTTTGTAGAATTAATTTCTTACATTATAGTTGCTTTTAGTGTTCTGATTTATTTCTGCTGTTTGTTTGGAATTTTTTGAAATCTTGATATCGTATATATATTTTTTTCAGCTTAAAAACTTTATTCTGCTGCTCAAATGATTTCGGCCTATTTTTTATTGACTTAGTGACCAAATTTTGAATACTTTCAATTGAACCCTTTTTTATGCTCACCTCTGGATTGCAAAAAATGCTAAAAATCTTATTTGATATATAGTTCAAGTTTTTCATGATACAAAATCGACTTTTAAAATTATTTCTTTTTTTGGCTTGATAGATTTCGGCTTATATTATATCGGCTTATCGGCCTTATATTGCGTCTTTTGACGGAAAAAAGTTTGACGAAAAGTTTTATGTGTGCGTGTCTGTGTTTTGAGGTGATGGGGAGCTTGGTAACTTCTAATGAGTCTTAATTTTTTTGAAATTTTTCGGCGTTTTGTTATTTTCCTTTTTTTGGGGTTAATTGGTTTCGGTCTATATTATATCGGCTTAGTTTCTTTAAAGTTTGAGGGCGAGGAGGACTTTTTCATGGTCTGGTTGATTTATTTTCGGCTTAAAGGGTTTCTGCCAAGATATTTTCGGCTTCGTACCGTTGGGTAAATTATCTTCCGATGCTAATTTCTCATTCTATTGTCTCATTATGTTTTTGTTTCGAAACTAACCTTATTCATTTTGATAGATCTAGATTTTTGACATTTTCGATTTTTTCTTGTGTTGTTTCGCAAGTGGTGCGAAGCTCAGCTTCGCCTCTGTGTTTTTTTTTTCATTGCATTAATTATTGTGAATAAAAAGTTCTGTTCTACTTGCACAGCCACTGGTTACCCTAAGAACTAAGTATATACTTATGCGATTAGCAAAAGTCATCATATCGAAACAAACTGGTTGACAACTAGTTGAACAAAGTCACTGAATCATTTCGCCCACAGTCATATCTGGTCAAGACATTTTGTGAGCATGTCTGCATTTTAAATTCCCGTTCTATTCAAAATCAATGATCTTGTTTGTTTTAAAACTGAATTTTTAATTTCATTTTTAATTTTTTTTACTTAAAATGTTTAGTTGCAGTCGCCTCATAGCGTGTTTTGACGGTGAAGAAAGTTTCCTTTGCATGTATCTGTGGTTAAAGAGACTTATAATTTCGAGTTTCAAAATGGTTGATAGCTCAGTTTTATTGGCGTCAATTTTTTTTCTGCTCAAACAGGTGTCTGTTCAACTATGTCGTCTTACCTACCGTTGCGAGCGTTCCGTTCCGATGCTAATGCAACACTTGTATTGTCTCAGTCTTTTTCGATATTTTTTCTGTGTTTTTTTACTTAGCGGTTTTCGTTTCATATTCTGTCTGCCAGATTGCTATCCTATATCTGTGGTGTCGCGACTGGTGCTAAGCTGGGCTCTACTTCTGTGTTGAATAGAGTTTTCAATTTGTCGGCAAATCGATTTGTTTCTTGGTTATTTTTTAAATCTCGGTTTGCAGTTACTTTTTCATGTTCCATGATATATCCGAAGAGCTTAAGTTAGTTCTGCTATACACAACTAAACGTGAGAATAGAAGCATAATAAAGCCAATTCAGCAAAAGTATTCCAAAGTACGCGACAAAAAAACCGCTTGGTATACATGGGATGAAATTTTGGTAAATTGAGATATTAGATAAGATATCAGGTGTTAGTTGGAAATGTATAATACATGTAGCTTCCATGTTTTCAAAAATCTGTATAATTAGATAACGTAGCCTATTTATGTCAGGCCAAGCGTGAAACTAGAGGCTGCGGGTGTAAATCAGGGCTGCTATGACGATAGGAAATGATATATTTATTGTGAAGATCGAGCCGTATCTACATAGAACAGTCACTGGGTTGAATAATTGTTTGAAAGCACAATTGGATGTTTCCCGCAGAATAGTGCGTTGCGAACCGAGGATTGTGAAGTCTGAAATATGCAGAAGAGATTCTAATTATTGAAATTTTAACTTAAAATCTCAATTATTGAGACTAACTTTGAAAAGAGCTCTTAAATGCTGAACTGCAAACATTTGGAATATCGAATGCAGCAACGTAATCAATCCAAATTGTGCATTTGTTTTAAAAAAGGGAGTCATTTTTTGGTAAGTTAATCGGTTGCTTATTACGCAGGTCGATTGTCACCTTGTGATTGCCTCTAGGGTAATAAAAATTGGAACCGACTTTTTGTTACCACGGCTGTGACCTACAAATGATATTTTTATCTGGTAATCATGTGAATGAATTCTTTTAAAATAAGTCTTAAACTGAATCATTTGAGGAAAATTTAAATCAAATGGGTCAGGGGCGGATTTAGGGGGGGGGGGGGCGGACGCCCCCCCTCAGGGATTTGACCCCCTGCCAACCCAAAGGGTCCCCCCTTTGATACTTTTTCAGAAATCCATTTTTGGCCGACCGACCCTAAAATTTTTCTAAAGGCGCCTTTGGCGCCAATATATGCTATTTTTGAGGGGGAGCGCGCGCCAAAAAAACGCATTTTTTTTGTCAAAATTTTTCAAAAAGTACCCAAAAAACGGCTTTTTTTGACTGTTTTTTCAAAAATTTGCCTGCGGCGCAGAAAGTTTACCAAAAATAGGGGCAAAACAGTGCTTTGGGAGAGCGCGAAAAATAGAAAAATAAAAATCAATTTGGTCGACCTAAAAAAAAAAAAAGGTCGTCAAAATTTTGGAAAATCCGCCCCCCCCCCCCTCGGGAAAATCCTAGATCCGCCCCTGAAATGGGTTTTCTTAGTAATTTTTGGCTAGTTGCAGTTAAAAGTGTTTGGTTGCATATTTTGGCATTTTGTAGACATTTAGAGGATCTTGTTTACTAATTCCTCCCCTATTGCAACGGGTGAATTCGTTGCAAGCTACAAAAGTTACGTATGTTTATCTGCGGCACTGCTTCTTTGTAGGGGTTGCAATTTTTTACTAGGTCATATAGGAGGGGTGGGGTCGGGATAGCTTACAAGATTCCATTCAGATGTATGCTCATAGCTTTGCTTTACCTATGTTTTCTGATAGCAAGTTGAATCGGAATCTCCTCATACTATATAATGTGCGATAATGAATTCCTTCTTGCAAATAGCTACTAATCTAGTTTCGTTCCTTGCTTAAGGTTTCCCGGAGGCAGAAAATTGCCAAATTGTTTGCTAGCTATTGATCTGTTTGTAAGTTATCCCGCAGAATTAAACGGCCCGCATTGTTGTTCCCTTCGCACCTATCCAAGCTCAAGTGAAAATCTTTCTACAGACTGGATAATAACTGTGTTCTTCAGTTGAGATAGGAAAGAATTGAATGAAGGAAAATGAGCGATTAGGCTATAAGAACATGTTCTTATTAAGCAAGCATATATTGTTTCAATTACGTGGTCACGTTTTTTAAACCGAAGTCTCGTAGCAAAAACTATGCGTTATTGAAACAACAGGCAATCTGCGTGAAAAGAGAGCAGTATAGCTACCCGGAGTTTGTTAGTAAAATAAGCTAGGCTACCATTGTATAGTGGTGAATCGTTTGACGTCGGAGGTTAGGGTTCGAATCCCCTCAAGTTTTTTTTTTATTTAACGCTTGTTATCGTTTTTTTGTTCCGACCTTTTTCGTTTGAAATTGCTTTGAAATGATACTACCCTCAATCATTTACGACTTAGCTTCAAGATACCTTTAATTGGATGGAAAGAAAAACATCTTAGATTTTTGTGGCCGGAATGTTGTCGTATCAAAATTGAAAGTCGTCGGAAAAAATGTGGTTCAGAAGGTTCGTTGCGTGGAAAAATAGCAGGAAATAACATGACGGCAACAGAAGGTAGGGCAAAATCCTGGCCTCTCAAAAGTTTTTTGTACTGTTGTTTTTATCAATAATTCATCTGCAATTTATAATTGAGCGGATATTAATCAATAAAAGTGCTACTTTGATCAGCTGAAGTTTGAGTTAATGTTGCGTTGCTCCTTTGGTTTTTGCTCTGTAGCTTCGCCAGTTGGATTGAGTTGATCTGGTATGAGAGGTCTATGTATGCCCTCTCCATGGAGATATTGTTCTCAAATAGATCTTTATCCACTATCCGTCTCATGTCTTCAATCACTCGTCGCCTCCATTGTGTATCGGTGTCTTCCTCTGAGTCTTTTTCTCTCCTTGAATGATATTAAAAATTGGTTTCTTAGAAATTAAATTCACTGATTTGTCCACTGTATGATATGTGAGTTAATGTTATACATAAGAGACTAGAAATATGTCAGAAATCATGGATTTCTCAAGTAGTTATGTGTATTCAAACACTCATTATAGCCCTCAGAAAATTACCCCCCCCCCCAATATTTTAAAAATCCTACTGTGGCGGTGTTATATATATTTTTTGTTTCTAGAGGGGAGGAGTGGAATGGGACAGAGCCCTCATCTGCTTGGATCAGCAGCGTACAAAAAATTCATTTTTCCCCGATGTTGATTTTTATGTTGATTGCAATCGGGTACTAGGCTTTTTTCCCGTAAATAATTTTGTTCACAGAATGGTCAATTTTGTAGCAAAGGTAAATTTCAAGACATGCTCAATTTCTGAAATTCATCAAGGTAGTAATTAGGTGGATCGCTTTTCTTGTATCAATTATTTTTTAAAATAAATATATTGATTTGTGGTTTTCGGCCTAGTGTTCATCTGTCTATTTTCCGTATATTATCTGGTACTTATTTTTTATTGTCCAACTTTGTGAAGATGGGTTTTATTTTGGTTCTAAATATTTTTTTTTTACTACAATTGAAAGTTCTGGAGTTTGTCATTTTACCAAGGTTTTGAACATTTTGCATTTTTGATTTTTTTCCATTAAACGGTTTCGGGTTATGAGGTTATTAGGCAACTCATATTGTGTAGTCTCGAAGGCCCAAAATTCCTTGTTCAACAAAATCAGCTATTGTGAAATTGTGTGGGATTGGGTTTTTTTTATTTTTAATTGTTTTGAGATGCTTCCGAGATTTTAATCATTTTGTGCAAAAATTTTAAATCGGCAGAAAACTACTCTTTTTTATTCTCAATGAAGGTAGTAATGGGAAGACCGGTCACTCTTCTGTGTGTCTGTATAATCCCCTTGTATCTTTTTACTGTACCCTACTGTCTACAGCTTTCGGAGAAAGCTGTGGGGGGACTATTTGACCCATATTTTTGGATTTTTTTTGTTTTATCAAAAACTACTCTCCCAAATCTGAGAATTGGGTTCAATAGATGAAACGGGCTGCAGGAAGATCCCCTGCAGAAGCGGCTAGGCTCAAACTTTTTATACATTTTATACAGAAAGTTTTGGCCCTCGGAATAGTCAAATGTTTGGAATTTTTGACCGTTTTTAATCTTTTTGATTTTTCTCGAAAACTACCAGCCCAAATCTGAGATTTTGGGTTCAATTCAAATAACACTTTGCTTAAAGTTTTTCTGCATATTCGGCTACGCCCATTTCGTTTATACGAAAAGATTTTTTTAATTGAAAATGGCGTGGAGCGCTGCTTCGCTTCTGTGTAAAATTTTCGAATCGAGGCTGAAAAAACTTACTTGGCGTGGTAGCATTTCAGACAGTAGTCGCCTTGAACAAGTGGAATCGATGAGCTTCTAAAATTTAAAATCGATTTTGTTTCAAATATGACGAGTTGAAATACAACTGAACTTACATTCGTGAACCTGAGCTGAATGATATATTTGATAGTGAAAGCTAGAACCTCTTACTTTTTTCTGTTGAGATCGAAAATGGATGCAGCCTTTTTCAAGCTATCTGCCAGTATGAGTTGTTGTGTATGAACATTGACGTTCTTTTGAATCAATATAATCCTGCCTTTTCGCTGCAATGAAAATGCATTCACTAGTTCTTCTCCTTCAGATCCATTTTCGAAGGTCTTCTGAACAGGAGTAATGATAGTCTTCGGCTGTCGTTTCACCCTAAAATTGTTTCCGTCTCATTTCACTTCTAATTAGATTGCCTTTGTGTATTTTTCAAAAAGAAAAGTTACCGTTTCTGGAGTTTCAATTTTTTGCTTCTGATAATCGCCTGATGAAATTGAACCAGTCAATAGTTTTTGTACAAAGTTCTTTTCGTGTACTTTTTAAAAGTCTTTAAAAAAAGTTTTTATTAAATTAATTTTTGTTTAAATTAAAAAAGGTTTTTTATAAATTTTTTGACTTGTTCAGTTGTGTCGCCGCACGGGAAGCTTTCTTCAGGATTCCACATGAATTATTTGAGTATCACTGATTTGAGTTGAGATAACTGAGGATTCAAAATTTAAAATTTTTTCTGATTTCAGGATTGTTTCGAAGGTAATAAAATAATTCATGTACGTCTGCTTGTTGATAAGTATCCAGAAACAAATATTTGATTTAATTTCAGATCATAAATGCGACCATCAAGTCACGTTGGAGACCATAAAAGTTCCTCGAGTGATGAGAAAGTGAGGCTGCTGAAAGAGATCTCCCAGCTGCAGCAGAAGATTAAAGCACTGGAGCGAGAAAGAAATAACACTGTGTAAGGAGCAGGGTTTTGTTTATCCAAGTTTAATAAAACGATCACTGACATCGCACTTCATTTTACTACTGGATTGGTTTTACTGCTCAGTTTTATCACGAAATAGAGTAATGAAGTAATTATCTAGATGAATGCGAGTTTTAAATAACTGATTGATTTGATAAGAAATTAAAAAAAAATGACCGAAAAAAATTGCCTTTTCATATCTCTTTGAACATGTCTTTTCGGCGAAATGTTTGATCAGGAGAACGACGCCCGCTGTCCAAAAAACTAGTTAAAGCTAGTGAATAAAGAATCCATCGCAAGTTGTGAACCTTCCGAATGATTTAAAAATGAACGTACTGACGGTTAACGGTCCAAGGTGCAACAGTATCTGTTTCCAGCCGTTATTGAAACAAAAATATGAAAACGTTTGGTCTCTTCAGATTTAACAAGAAGTCGGAGTTGAGACCCTTCTACTCGGACTTGGAGGAGACCAGTTTGAAGATAGAGGAGGAGAGGAAAACTGAGAGCATGAGGCTGAAAAGGGACCTGGAAAAGCTGAAGAGCAATGTGAGGTCATTCAGGAACACCGTGCTCCAGTTGCGGCCAGGAGGTGCTGTAATATTTTCAATATTTCAATAATATCTTTTAATTTAAAACAAAATAGGGCTACAAAGTTTAAATAGTCGAGTTGAATCCTGATAAGAGCATTGCTTTTTGTCTGAGGCAACTAGAGGCAAAGGTTCTGGGTTCAAATATGAGCAGGACCTGTGTTTTTAAGCGGCAATTTTTCAATTTTTCCGGTTCAAAAAAATTCTGTCTACTACTTGTCTGCTTATGTTTTGTTGGCTTAGTTGCCACATCTAAGAATCGTTTATTTTAGCTGTATACAATTTTCACTGCAGTTGCTTACAGCATTTTAAAAATCCAGACCAATCGAAATTTACTTTTTAGTCCCGTTAAGAAATAACTGAAAATGTATGTTGCAATCAGTGCTAGTTAAATTAAGCAACGAATAGTCTAACCAATATTAGGATTCTTACTGGAACAAGTTAATTGTTTCTATGCTTTAGGCAGTGGCAATTCGAGGGAGGAGGAGAGTTCGAGCAGACGGGATGTGGTCGGGACTCCGAGTGGAGGTGTTACTCCTGGAACTACTTCAGTGGAGCGACTAAAGGAGAAGGTGGAAGAGATAGACTCCAGTATCAATTCATTCAAAGGCTCACACAGAGAGAACTACGAGGTAGGCTGCATAGACTTAGACTTGTTTTATGATACAAGCAATTTTCACTGTAATTGAAAATCATTTTGATGTATTCCTGTATTGGTGCAAGTAATTAAAAAGTTCAGAAAAGTTTTTTTTTGATATATGATTTCAGGACAATTCTTTTGAAGGCTTTGCTTATGACTGATCGTTTTTCTTTTTCTAACAACAAGGCCATGATCAGAGGAGCATTGTCGTAATAGTTTGAAATTATGATTTTATCGGATTGCAAAAATTCAAAAAAATAATATTTTTTTTTTATTCGTTCGCTCGTTTGAGTTTGTCAAACAAGCTTTAATGAATCATAAGTGTGTTAGAGAATGATTGTACCATGCCTACTTCTTAAATACTTCAAAAATTTTGACATTATAAATATTTAGCAGTTTTTATTGTCCATTTTTTTCGCTTGAACAAGCAAATATTTGTTTGCTCGTAAATTCAAAGTTGAGCTCGAAAATTTTACCGAAAGAATCTAAAAGCGATTTAATTTTTTTCTACCTGATTGAAATATGATCATTTGTCGTCTAGTCTGTCGGATAAATTACTTGTTGTATCCGACAAAGTGAGCTTTGATGAAAATATAAGATAATGCCGTTCTCTAACAATGGATGGTTGCGCTGCAACAATGCTCGGTTGATCTTGATTATTATCCGTCAATTAAATCATTTTAATGTGTCAATAAACGTATTGAAGAGTCAGCATATGCTTTGACTTTCGATTAGTAATAAGTTAAAAAAGTTGGTGCATTTTTAATTCATCAAATTAACTGAAAAAAAACTTGGTCTGAAGGCAATGAAGTTGCCGTTGAAAACTATAGTCAGAAGAGGAGCTCCGCATGAACCTTGTTTTTTTTGTGACGTTGAAATTTTTTTCCGGGAAAATTGATTATTCTGACTGTTGTTTGTCGACTTATGATTTGTCGGCTTAGTTGTCTCATCGCCGATTTTATTTGCACTGTACGCAATTTTTATGTTAGTTTTAGTGTCGCTGATTAATTCCTGTAATTTGTACATTTTCTTACCGTGACTGGTGTATTTTTCATACTGTTTAAAAAAAATTTACGCTTAGAATTTTTTCGGCCTAAATGATTTCGGCTTATCTTTTTCCGGTTTGGTGAATATTTTTGCATCGGCTAAACGGCAAAAAGTAATAGTTTTTAATTTGAATAAATTAGGCCGGTTGGTAGTATTAAAGTTGAAAACTCAAACTCTGTAGTCGCTCAAAGTTTTTTTAACGACAACTTTCTTTTTGCGATTAATTGGAGTCTGTCTAACTATGGGTTGTTGGCTTAGTAAGCTCTGGGAACATACTAAGAGCTTGCCTAATGCTGCAGATGTCTTGCTCGTCTGTTTTTCTGAGACTGAATTTATGTATTTCCAAAAAAAATTGTTCGTTTTTTTTAAACTTAGTTATTTCCATCTCACTCACTATTTGGAAGCACGCAATGTTACGCTATCGTTGTATCGCAAATGATGCGAAGCTCCACTTTACCTCTGTGTATATAATTTGGCTGTATGGTTTCCAAATTATTTCATGCAAATTAGTTTTTTGTTTTCATTTGGTGCCACTTTTGGTGCATTGCTTGGCAATCTATTAGCGTGTAGCTGCTTTATTGGTGGCTAATTTTAGTAAATTTTAAGGCCAATGGCGCAGTTGCGTCTACAACGGATTCCAATCTCCCGGTCGTAGGATAGAATCTGTCGCAATAAAAGTTTGAATTTTCAAGGCTTATTTTAACCTTTGTCGATTTCTCGCTAGTTTTTGCGAAGAGCTGCTTCGCCCCTGTTAAACAGTTTTGTACCCTTAAAATTTGTCCAATTTTTTCTCCAAAATCCTTCCCAAAACAAAAAAGAGTGCTCGTCTCAGGGCAAAGCCCTGAATGATCCGATTGTATTTCAAGGGCTATAAAGAAGTGATTGATTTTCTTATTGTTGTTTGAAAATTATTCACCCATGCCCTATTTAAAGTACAAAGTGATTTTTTTCGCATAGGGCAAAAAATTAAATTGAGCAAACAGCATGCCTCAATTCAATTTGGAACGATTTATGTGCGGATTAAATGGTTGCTTACACGTCAATAGCACAAAATATCTCAGGCGTTAATTGTCCCAATTTGGCGTTTTTAAGCCCCATAACTTCGCGAAAAATTATCACAGGTAAAAATTTTTTTTTTTAGTTTGAGCTCAAGACCAGAATACCGTTCGAATGATAAAAAAAGATTTCGTCAAAAGTTGCTAGGTAAAGAGTCGAAATTTGTCTAGAGAAATCAAAACCACCCCGAGCACAAATATTCCGTCACCTTCTCCGAAAGTGGGACCAATTAGATCTTATTTAAAATGTCTTTTAAATCAAGGGTAGACTTTGAATGGATAAGACTTATGAATTTCGTTTATCCTCTCTTTGTTCATTCTGTTTATTAAGAACTTTTGATGATGTTAAGTGTTAGATTCTGGAGAAACACGTTTTTTTTGCTTATTTTGCTGTAGTATCAAATTATTTGGCTCTTGCCTAGAAATTCGTGATAAATGAGAAGACGCTGAGCCAAGAAGTAGCCGCTCTGGACAGAAGAATTGATGTTTGGGACCTGCCAACCACTCAAAACAATGCCAACTCGACCCAAGTGGCGCCTCCAACTTCTGCGACTGGATCCAAAGTGAAGATATACAATATTGCCAATGACTTGTCCTCCACTAAACCACAAGAAGTGCTGGAGTATGAAAAGTACATCGAACAACATGGTAAACTGTCCAAGGAACGATGTTTCTGTGGTTGATTATAATAATAATAAAAAATTAGTTTCTAAGTAAGTTTTGGCAAACAAACTTGAGATGTCGTCAAAAGGCAATTGCTTTTTAATGTGACGCTTTGAGCAAAGATGAACCGCTTTTAAACAGTCCGTTCTTAACGAAGAAACTGTCCTGGTTATTGATCAAAAAAAGGATAAATGTTTAATAGCATTTAAGGAGCATTTTATTTGTATGATATATTGCATGATTAGTTATTCTAGCATAAGAAACACTCTTATTTTTTAATGGAAAATATATGCATGTTGACTTTTTCAGTGCTTAGATTTTCTAGCATTTTAATCAACCCCTTGTGCTAAAATATGGGCTTGATAAAAGAAATTGTTCGATCACTTGATTCCAACACGTAAATGCTATGAAGGAATAAGTTAAACGTATATGCTATGAGATCACGCTAAGAAATTGTTCAACTTGCAAAAAAATAATGCTATGTAAGTGAAAACAATGGAGTAAAATTAGCCTCATTCAACAGGTGGTAGTAGAGGCGGTTGGGAGGAGTACGACCACGTCACCTTCACCAAGTACTACACCCTGCTCTACAAACAGAGCACAGCCGACGAAGAGGTATCCAAACGGAAGCTGATCGAACGTCTGGCAGTGGAACTGGCCCACAGGTCAGTTGATGATCTGGACAGTCATTTCGAGTGGTACAAGAGACTGTTGGAGTTGGGTGAGAAGAAGAAGTATGCGATTACGCAGTGGAGAAAACAGAAGGACAAGGAGAGGGAGGCACTGAAGTCGAGAGCTGTGAAGAGCGAAATTGGTGCGTGTTACGCTGGCATTGGCGATGACCTGTATAAATTATAAGCTGCGAAGATTAATACTGTTGTGTGAGGATCTTTTTTAATCAGATCGTTTGTTAATGTAAACTGAATTGAATGAGTCGTTCCTGCAACTTTATAAAGAACCTGAATAAGCAGCACGTCTCGAATTAATTCACTATTAACCAGCATTATTCCATATCTCGTGAAGTTTAGACTTTTTATCCACGAGGGAAAGGACCAACATACGAGCGAGCTGTACAGCTCATCGCGGCGAACCGCTGTTGTCACCCTGCTTAAGAACTGCATGCATTTTTTTGGTTATTTTTTTACTGGCTTTTCATGGTGCTAGATATGTTAATGAAACAGAAAAATTACTTATCTGCGAAATAAACCAAGTTGTTTTTTTTTATCTTTAGACCTGGAGGAAGCTGATGGTCGGGAAGGAATTGAGGTGGACGAGAGTGACCTTAAAAAGGCAGAGGAGAAGAGGGAACTGTTGAAGGCGTGGAGAGAGTTCAGGGAGCAAGAGAGACGAATTGCAATTGAGCAGGAGAAGATACGCAAAGAGGAGGAAAAGGTTAAAACATTGATCGAAACCGAGACCAGCTGAAAGTTCCCAAAATTCGTAACATGGGGTGAATGTAGAATATTATGATTTTTTCGCTTATTAAGAGTAATCAACGTAGTGAAGGCTCTTATATATGTCTTGGTGATTCTTTTTTTTTCAGGAAAAAGTCTTAAAATGCTCTAATAACTACAGATGAGCATTCATACATTTTTGTGCATATATGAATGCACTTAGGTATATATGCTAGTTTTTTTAGTTCAATTAAAATTTTTCATCTGCTGAAAAATACGTAAATAGCACTCACCAAAATCGAACGTGGAAATGGCGCAAAAAACGAGAACGATTTCTACTTTCGAAAGTGGAATTTAATTTTGAGATTTCCAGCGGAGTAAAAAATTTACTTATTGATTCAGTTTTCTCAATTTGGGTTAATGTTATTAAAAAAGCGCGAATTCTAAATTGTTCTAGAAATTCAAAGAGCTTAAAAGGCATCTATTTTTTTTCTTTGAAATTCGAAAGTTGAGTTTTTCTCAAGGCATTGGAAATTGCATAGCATCTGTTCTCTGCTTTATTTGTGGCTAGTGTTTAATGGCTATTAAGCTTCAGTGGCTGAGTGGTTAGTGTGTGAGATTCTTATTCTCTAGATTGCAGTTTCCAATCTCGGAGGTTGCCAAATTGTTACTAATTCGAAGCTTATTTCTTATTTTTTATTGCTTTTTATAGAGCTGATTTTTGTCGTCTTCTGTTAGATGTTTGCTAAGCGAAGTTTTGCCTCTGTGTCAAGTTTTTTATTCAAGTAATTTTTTTAATATTACAATATTCAAGTAAATTTTCAAGTTTCATTTTTCAGAAATTATTTTTTTGCATCGCAATTGTTGCGAAGCTTGCTTCGCCTGTGCTAAAATTCGTTCAAAGTTTTTTTTTCGATAAGTTAAAGGAGTGTTCTGTGCATTTAGTGCAGAGGTAACACTCATGCTTGAGACGTTAAGTCCCAGAAGTTCGATTTCAGTCGGGATCTGTTTTTTTTGTCGAAACTGAAATTTTCGAATTTTCTAGTTTTTCGTGTCTGCTAATTTTTGTCGGCTTAGGCCCTGCAGAAAAATTCGGTTTGTTTTTCTAGCATTTTAAAAGTTCTTTCTAAAGTTTCGAATGGTGCTGGTAATTTGTTTCCTTTTTAGCACTTTTGATGACTTGACAAAAAAAAACTATTTATGAAGTTTTTTTTCAATTTTTGATTGTCTTTTCATTTGCTGGTGATCATGGTCGCAAATTTTTGTATCGCAAGTGATGCGAAGCTCTGCTTCGTCTCTGTGTTTGAAACTTTGCATCATTTGTCCTTCAGAATGAGTGTCGTGCCAAATTAGGTAATTTCTGATAGGTGGAGGGGATGATTGTCGGGTGCCCTTTTCGTTAACTTCAAACCAGCTTCTGATTAGCCCACATCTTTTCACGGGTGAAAATCTTTCGATACAAAAACCAAGTGTAGCTCAGAAACATGAGCAAACTTTTATCCCTGCTGAGAAGTGACCAAATTTTATCCATGCTGAGAAGTGACTTAATGAAATGATTTTTCTTTGTGTTTAATTCGAGTAGTCTTCATTCCAGTTTGTGATTGTGATTGTGTGTACAGGAGAAGGAGAGGCAGCATTTGGAGAGGCAGAAGGAGATCAAGGCCCAAATAGACGAGATGAAGATGCGGAAACAGCGAGAGGACGAGATAGAGAGGCTGAAGAAGCTAGCTGACGAGTTAGAGCAGGACCACATACGCAAGGCTGAACTCAGGGCAAGTAGCATTTAAAGAGTGTAGCTTTTAAATGCGACAGTTTAAGAACCGTGTTTGAGGTTTTATTTATTTAAAAATTGGATTGAATTTTTCTTCGCCACCACACCCCACCCAGAGGCGATCCTTGGCTTCATCCGTATTGAATTTGCATCAAATTCAATACGTTCACTTGCCATTTGAGAATTTTTTAAAATTGTATGAACGTGAATAGTCCAAATTCGAGCCTTATCCGGAAATTCAGCTCTGGTGTTTTTGCAGGAAAAGAGAATTCAGAGTACTAAGAAAGCACTCTCTCAAGCAGAGGAAAAGAAAGAAATGAAGAAGTTGCAGGAGTTCGCGCAGGCGGAGAAGTCAAAGTATGTAGTCCTCAGGAAGAAGGCAGTCGAAGCGAACGTCACACGAGACCCAAACAGGTCAGTGAAGTTGCCTATCATTGTGTACAATGTCAACATGTGAATTCACAAAAATGTCAATGCGTTGTGAGCAAAAGTATTGTTGGATTGTGACTTTAAAATGTTTAACTAACGGAAAACTTTCATTAAGGTATCTTGTTTACTCGAATTAGTTTATTGAGCTTGTTGTCTGGTTGCAGGCTTTTGAAGCCGACCAAGGGCTGGGAAAATCGAGTGAAAGAGGAAGAAATGAAAAATGATGCAGGAAAACGTGTGGGGGGTCTCAGTGGTACCATTGCTGTCACCCATATTCCTCACAGGGCAACTCCAGCTTGGAGAAGCAACGCATCCTGACATTTGAAGAGTGAAATCATTCTTTAAATTGTCTAAAACTCGTTTGGTGCTATGCGATGTTTAGTGAAGGCTTCTATGCGATGTTTAGTGAAGGCTTCTTTAGTGGGACAAAGGAGAACGCCCTGGATACTTTCCATTCAAAAAGTTACTTGTTCATGAAATAGTTTTTTTTTACATTTGCATTTTCATGAGATAGTTCAAATTGGGTTTGGTAAATTTGCTTCATTTCATTGAGTACATCTGTAAATATGTATTTTTGTCTATAGTAGTTTTATTTATTTGACTGTTCTTAACAGCTGTGCAATTAAGTGTCGCCAACTTTTTTAATCATGGACGTTCTTGTTTTTTTCTGAATAGTATCTGGAGAACAAACTCAACCAAAAACTCGAATTCTTTTCAGGTTAGAAATAGATTTAAATAGGTCCTTTCAGACGCAATTTCAATTCGCAGTTCCAATCCACTGCGTCGAATGCCAAGATGATCGAAGTCTCTTCAGAAGAAGACGAGTCTGAGACCGAGACCGACTATTTCTATCAACCAGACAGTCGTGGTCTCTGTCTCCCTCCGGGCTATGTATTGCCCCCGGGTAGAAGAGCGGCCGACAACAGATCAGCATCGCACACTCACCTGGCGCCAGTGTCGCCTCTGTCTCAGAAGCCGAGGAATAGTACTGTGAACAATTCTGGACTATCGGCGTCTGCAGCTATCAGTCCGTCCAAGTCGGGGCCATCTAAAGATTCTACGGATGGTATGTTAACACAAGCGAACTTTAGTGAGCGTTAGTGTTATACTACGACTATTCTTTTTTCTAACCTAAGTCGCAAATATAGGTGGCACATTTGGGGAACTTTTATGGCTTTTTGATAGCACGTGCGTTGACATTCGAACAGTTATAAGTTAACCCAGTTGATGAATTTTAAATTCATCAAATGAACCGAAAAAAGCTATTTGTTCGTAACAACATAATCATAAAAACTCTAATTTAAACTTTCTAATTTATTACATGCAAAATTAGCGTGGATGCCATCAGTTTGTTATAATCCAAACTTTTACTTTCAAAGTTGTGTCTATTTGTATGGTGCCACTTCTGCTGCATTGCATTGGCAATTTGTTAGCATATGTAGCTGCTTTATTTGTGACTAATTTTTGACGTTGTTAAGTGTTCGTGGCCGAGAGGGCAGGGCGTGAGACTCGAAGTTTCGGGGTCGCAGGTACGAAGCCTATACGTAGCAATGTTTTACTAATTCGAGGCTTTTTTCTAATTTTTCTTATTTTTTATTTTTCTTATTTTTCTAACTTTTGTTATTTTTCTTATTAAGCTGCTTTTTGTCGTGTCCCCGCTTTTGGGGTTGTATTGGGTTGGGCAACAAATTGTAACAGGCGACAAATAACTTGTTGGAAGCGACAAATTTTAAAAAGCGACAAAATAAACAAATGAGAGGCTTGATGAACATAAATGACATAAAAGTCAAAGTAAAATCTTATTCTCTGTTTTGTATAGATTATTCCGTTTATAATTTTATAGTTTCTCCGATAATCGTAAAAGCACTTTTCCATACTTTGCTCTTTTTGACGCCTTTTCTCTGGATCTTTTTCGCACCAAGCTTTGTTCTCGCAGAATTACTCGATGAATTTGTGGATGGTTGAGTATGTGCATCCCAGACTGCGCTAGCTTTTAACTGAGATGTGTGTCTGATGTTTTCCTATTGATTCCACAGTTCTGGTGTAAGAGAGCTGATTGTTATCGATTCGAAGTCGGAGTTACTCGGCTCAATAAAGGGGGCTTAACCAAGAGTGTAAATTTTTTTTGATATAGTTTGTGCCAAATGGAGAAGCACCCTTTGATAATCGCACGTTGGAAGTCAGCTTGAAAGGCATTGTTGGAAGCTTTTTCAAAATCGAGCAGATTTTTGGCGGGCGTTGAGCAAGGTTTAAACTGTTTCAGCTTTTCAAAAGCTCTTAGAACATGGTCTTCAGTTTGGTTGTGTCATAAGGAAGTTGTGTCATAAGCAAACCAGGTAAAGGAACTGTTTGCTGGATTACTACAGCATTTATATTAAATACACAATAGAAGAGTCTGAGACTTGACTGTCTTGACTGAAAAGTTATGTTCATATGCCAAGTTATGCGGCTCTCCGGCTGAGAAAATCAATTTGTGGGCCAGCACAATCAGTTTTCTGTTCACGCGTTCGCTGAATTGGACGAGTTTAATTGGAGCAGTTTACTGGATGAACTCTGGTGTCTCAATTGAAAATAGGAACAGTTTAATCAATTACTTAAAAGCTGATCTGTCCATTAATATGAGTAATGAACGTAATGGGTACTCTTATATAGGTCTTGCTGATTTTTTCCAAAAAAAAAATTCAGGCGAAAGTCTTAAAATTTGTTCACGCTCAATTTGGGTTTTTCGTGGCTTCACTTGTGTTTCTTTTTAAGTTGAGTGCATGTCTTTTGTTAAAAGGAAGCTAAACTCCACTATCGAACGGCAGAAAAATTGTAAAGGTCACGAAAAACGTGATACTTCTAATTTCGAAAATGAAAATTAAATATCAGATTTCCCAGTGAAATAAAAGTTTTACCTATTGATCCAGTTTTCTCAATTTGGGTTAATTTCAAAAAAAGTGTCCATCATAAATTGTTCTACAAATTCAAAAAGCTTTAAGTCCATCTTTTTCTTCGTAATTCAAAGATTGAAATTTTCTGAAACAAGTTGTTTTTTTTTGCAGTTTCCTTGTGTTCATTACTCTTTTTCAACTGTCAGTTTGCTATGTTATTCCTGTCAATAATTTCATTTCTGTAAATAACTTAGTTCACGGAGTAGTCAAAAATTAGAAATGGAAAATTTGGGCTGATTTAATTATAAGTTCAAAGATCTTTGCGTCTTCGGCGCACTTGGTCTAGAGGTAACAAAAACGCCTCTAGGCGGCAAAGGTCCTAGGTTCGAATCTGAGAGAACCTGTTTGTTTATCCAAACAGGAAATATTCCGTTTCAAAAAAAATTGTCTGCTTATTATTTGACTGCTTATAGTTTGTCTGTTTAATTTCTTCAGCGTTTTTTTTTTGCTGTACGCAATTTAATTTGTTGGTCCTAGTGTTTTGGTTTACTTCTGCTGTTTGTAATTTCTTGACTTGATATATTTCTTTTAATTTTTTTTGTTCCGCTGAAGAGTTTCTTCTGCCCTAATGGTTCCTTCTGATTTTTTATCCACTATTGACCTAAATTTGAGTTGTTTCTAGTGAAACATACTTTTTATAGCTTGTACGCTAAAATCTTAATTGAAATTATAGTTGAAGTTTTTCATGACTACATGTTTTTCGGCTTCTTTTTTTTGGCTTCACTGGTTTTGACCGATTTGATGTCGTTTTAATGGCCTCATGTTTTCTCTTTCGACATGCAAAAAAAATTGTGTGTGCGTATGTGTTTTGAGGTTGAAGGGGACATAATATTTTTTTAAGTCTCGAATTTTTTTGATTTTTTTGGCTTTTTAGTTCCTGTTTTTCGGCTTAATAGGTTTAGCTTTGTGGCCTCGTGTTGTTGACAACAAATAAAGATGTTAATGTGTATTTTGAGGGCCAGAGGGACTCTTAAAGTCTTAAGTCTTGTTGATTTTTTCCCGGCTTTGTGGGTTTCTTGTGTTGTATCGCAAGTGGTGCTAAGCACAGCTTCGCCTCTGTTTCGAAATTGTTAGTTGCAAAATTTGTATTTGTTGCTACTTTTGCAGCGTGGCATAGGCAATTTATTAGCATTTGTAGCGGCTTTTTTTGTGGCTCGTGTTAGCAAATTATCAAGGGCTCGTAGCGCTTTTTCAAGGGCTCTTTAATTTTAGTTCCTTCACCTGAAGTTTTTGATGCAATTAACAAGTGGAATGCAAGTTTTTAACTATTATATCTCGCATGTCAGCAATTAAGTTTCACAAATTGTCGCCTGATACGAGTTGTTTTCCGCCTTCAAAATTTTCGCTTGTTGCTCATTGTAGACTCACGAGTATTCGGTTTGCTATATTTCTGCTATTTGTTGGAAACGTTATGATTTGTAAAATGTTTTGAGAGTCCTAACAGGTTCGAGGTGCTTCGTTTGATCTATTTGTAGCCACCACTAAAACTAACAATGTTCCGAAACTGCATGTATCCTGCATATCTTCTATTCCAGGAATGCACTCTCGGAAGAACAGCTCAACAGCACTGAAGATGGGGAGGTCTCCCAGTCCTACTCCCTCTTTGGAGGCTGCTGAAGAGAAGATACCAATGAGTCCAGCTGATGAAGAACAAAACAGGCATGACAGGTAGTTCATTTTGATCCTAATTTATTAGAAACATTCCAAAAAAGAGACAATAAAAAATGTATGTGACTTCGATTTTTGCTCTCAATTTTTCAAAGTTGATTATATTCAAGTTTTATGATGAAATCCAGCAAGTTACGTTCTTTGAAGGATGTGACTGGCTTTGAATTGTCTGCTTGGAACGGTGTGAGTTATATGATCAATTTTTGCTATCAAAGCTTTTCCATCATAGTTTTTGGCCCAGCACAGATCCAAACTGCTTTTTTCAATTCTTTTCAATTGATTAACTTCTTATTGTTTGTGATTTTTATTACCTTTGAGAGATCAATTGTTTGTAATTGGGAACTAGACTTTCTTTCCATAAACTACTTTTCTTTACGCTAGCGAACAGCTAGTGTTTTAGTTCGAACCTTCTTTTTTCTAACCTAACTCGCAAATAAAAGTGTCCGTAGAAGTGTTCTCTTGTGTGCCTTTTTGCTATAATCACGATCTCTAGCTATAGAAATTTCATAGCATCGTTCTCGGCTTTATGTGTCGCTAGTGTTTGAGATGGAGTAAGCGTCCGTGGCTGACTGGTTAGTGCGTGAGACTCATAAAATCTAGGTCGCAGTAGGTCGTTGGTTCGAGTCCGAGCAGGAACGAATTATAAGAAATTCGAGGTTTATTCTTAATTGTTCTTATTTCTCTTTTTAGAACTCAGTGCTGCTATATGTTGTTCTCGCTCTTTTTTGCTCTCGCTCGTGAGTTATTGTAAGATAACTAGAGTTACGCGCAGTTATTTTCACGTTCTGTCAAGCTCAATTTACTTAAAAATTCAAATATAACTAGCGAGTCTTTATTTGATAATTTTTTTTCAAATAAACTTACAGAGAAAAAAATCATGTTTTTTCAGGCTCTTTGTTTTTGTCGGCTCCATTTCCCATTTTTTCAAATGCGACTATGTTATCGGCTTCTTTCCAAAGCATGGATTTTATGTTTTAAAAGAAAAGTATTTGGTTCAAAGTTTCGTAGCTGAATTTTTTTATTAACAGTTTTGTTTTCGGCTAAAACGGGAGTCAACCCAATTTTGTCGGCTTAGTTGCCGCTTGTCAAATTTTTTTTAATGCTTGTTAAGGCTGTTTATTAAAATCATCTGAGGTGAACTTGGTTTTTTTTAATGATTTATTTTTTCGACTTCCAATGTAAATGTTCATCTTTTTTTTCTATCCTTTATCTTGTAAGGCAATGTTTTTGTTGTATCGCAAGTTGAACTTTGATTCATACCCACTCGTTGTTGGCTTAGTGGCCATTCAAGCTGTAAATGTTAAAAGCTTTTTAAATTTTAGTGGTTGCTTCTCGATTTTGTGAAATTGAAAAAAAAAATTCAAAAATGTTTTTTTTTTCCATTTTCGCTGCGCTTACGTTGTATCGCCTGTGATTGCGAAGTTCCACTTTGCCTCAGCGTCAATCAGATTTTGTGCAATAGTCTTGTTTTTTTATGACCGTTTACTGGCTGCATTAGTAGAATTCATGTTTTGGTGTAAATGAATGATGTTTTTGTCACTCATTTTTTGAATTTTGATTTTTTCAATGTTTGAGTTTGTTTTCTTTGTTAAAAGGCAAGAAAACTTCACTATCTAATGACAAAAGTTTAAAGATCTTGAACAACATAAATGACATCTAGTTTCAAAAATAGAAAATTGCCATGTTAATACAGTTTCCTGTAAACGGGAAACTTCAAAAAAGTCATGCCGTTTACAGTGCGAATGTGATATATATGTTTTCTTTGAAATTAGAAATATTCAATCAACTTTCTTTGGTTTCGTTATTCGATGCAAGTCTAGCGTATTGTGATAGTACGATGCAACTTTTTTTCGCAAATAAAAGTACTCTGGGTGTCATGGAACTTTTACCAATGTGGAGGAGGCAGCATTTTCAATATATCATCTTTTGTTTTGACATTTGATTAGTAATAAAATAACAGAATTGAACTTTTTTTTCATCAAATGATTCAAAAAAATTTGTTTATTAAAACAGTATAATAATTAAATTTCGATTTCAGAAAATTTTTAACTGAATAAGTAATACAAAATTTGATATTTTCAAATTTAAGACATGCAAATTTAGCATGGTTGCCTTTAGCTTATTACATTCCAAATTTTACATGCAAAATATATATGTATATGTAAAATTTGAAGCTCCCTTTTGTCGCTTGTCTTTTGTTTTCTATTGTAGTGTATCCAACTGGAAAACAAGAATGTGATGAAGGACTGAGAATTACATCCTGTAGAGTCATTTAATTTTCAGAACTATTTTTGAAGCTACTGCACGGTGTTTGTTTGCTTGTGTTAGCGAAGCGCAGCTTTGCCTTTGTAAACTATTCCAGCCATCTGTTGTCTATGTTTCTTTTTTTTTCAGGTACCAACTATACGTCGTGGTTTTGCGCGCCATAGCGTACCCCTTCAATGCGAAGCAGCCGACTGACATGGCAAGGAGACAGCTGAAGATGAGTGTGAGTCAGCTGGACCACAATCGGAAGAGGTTCCTCATGTTCCTGAAGAACGAGATGCCACAGATACAGAGTGACGAGGCATTCTTCAATGCTGTCAATCACTATAACGACACATTCCTCAAGAGCAGCAGAATAGAAAAGGTGAGAAAGAGTTTTTTTGTAAGTTTGCTGCAATTCTTGAATCGCTTGTCAAATAAAAATAGAAAGGATTATTCAGTTTATAGCTCAAAATCCTATTATACACATCATTTGAGGCATGCGAAAAATTACGTACATTTTGTTTTACGAAGATCATACTTGTGATATATTAGAAATGCTTAATAAGATCATGATTTAGCTCGTGAAGTGTGGTGGCATCTCGGCGCATGACTTCCGGGAGGTGTTTAAGAAAATGATAGAGAAAAGAGTAGCTTCTTTGCCCGACATCGAAGGACTCAGCAAAGAGACAGTTCTAAACTCATGGCTGACCAAATATGACGTCATCACAAGAGGGGAGGAGGGAAGCAAAATGGCGACGAGGTTGACCGCTCCTCTGTCAGAGACAGCACTGGGCAAAGAGGAGTTGTACAATATGTTTCAAGGGGTGTTGGGGATCAAGAGATACGAGCACCAGCAGTTATACAGTCTGATGCAGGTAAAATGATTACTTGTGTTTTTGTGATGTTTGGTTGAGATTGAATTGCTTCGGCGATATTCGTTTTCTGTAATTTTTAGTTGGACAGTGCGGACGAACAGAGTTCGGTGATCAGAAAGGAGTTGAATGCGCGCAAGCAATATGCAGAGGGACTAGCCAAGGTACGATTATTCCATGGATTAAAAAGCGTAATATTTTTTGTCTGTTGTATGCTTTTTATTAAAAGTTTTTCATTTTAATACATACGAGCGAAGCTGGTCTGTCTCAACAAGATTGTTTAAGAGTAATGAACGTAGTGAGTGCTCTTATATAAGTCTTGATGATTTCTTTTGTTTTTTAAGAGTAATGAACGTAGTGAAGACTCGTATATAGGTTATGGTGCTTTTTGTGTGTGTTTTTTTTCAGGAAAAGTCTTGAAATGCTCTAATAAAAACATATGTACATTCATACATTTTTATGCATTCATGAATGCTCTTTTTGAGTTCAGTTGAAATTCATCTGCTGAAAGTGACGTAAATAGCATTATCCAAATACGAACGTAGAAATGGCGCAAAAAAAAACGTGAACGATTTCTAGTTTCGAAAGTGGAAATTTTTTTAAGATTTCCAGTGGAATAAAAACTTTACCTATTGATCCAGTTTTCTCAAGTTGGGTTCATGTTATCAAAAAAGCTCATGTCATAAATTGTTCTAGAAATTCAAAGAGCTTAAAGGGCATCTATTTTTTTCTTTGAAATTCAAAATTTGAAGGTTTTTGAAGAAAAACAAGTCGATTGTTTTAATTTCGAGAATGGTGTTCATGATTCATATAATTTTTTTGCTTGTAGACGAAGAAGCTGCCGAAGTTTTTGCACAAGGGCATGGACCAGATGTTCATGGAGGAGATTAACAGCCAGATCCAGATGCTCATGCACAACCTGGACTGTCTCCCAGTCTCCTCGGCTAGAGGGGCTATGTCCTCATCTGCCACAGGGAGACCCTCGGGTTTCTCAACCGTACTAAGGACCAAAAAGTGAGTAACAAATCAGCCAACATTCTTTTCAAATCATGAAGGTTGCTCAATTTGTAAGTTTATCGGTGTCTTAGTTTTTTGTTCAGGGTTTTTTGTTTTGATCACAAACTGAAGGCTAATTTGTCCAAGTACTCAAATGGTTTAATTGTTATTCCTCATTTCGGCCGAGTGTTCCGAGATGTTAAGATAAATGAAAGACTTCTTTTAGACTTGGTTAAAATGTATTTTTATGTTGATCAAGCATTTGATTGTAGTGTTCTTTTGGTTCCTCTTTAGGACTCCAAATGCCCTTCTGGACGGGACAGGAGAGCAAGACGTGCGACTGTGCAAGAGTGATATTGCACTGTCGTTCTACGTGGAGGTGACTGTAGTTGAAGTGCAGAACCTGAAGAATGTGAATGGGGGCAAGATAGTGTTCTGCACCATGGAGTTGGAGGGAGACAAGAGGCTGCAGACTGACCACGCGGAGGCCAACAAACCCCAGTCAGTTGTTTAAATAGATCATCTTCCACCGTATTACTATGTCCCTCAAATTGACGTATTACTATGTCCCTCAGATCTATGTATTACTATGTCCCTCAGATCACCATTGCATCTCCCACATTGAGACATACATGTAAGACAAAATTGCTGTTTTTAATGAACAATAATTATATCGAGACCCGCTCGGGTAACGACTCACGTTTCGTTTTTAGTCTACGACTTATCTGTTTTTTTTTCTGAAGAAATAGAATTACTGCAAAATAATTATGAGAACTTTACAGCTTTGGTGCGTGATTGTTCTTGATTAGATCGGCGTTCCTTTTCCGCTAAATTTCAAAACTAACTGGTTCTTGGAGAGTGATTTGAGAATTGTGTTCTTCAGCTTAAGGAAGTACTTGGTATAAATAATGGTACATACAGCTAAAAATGGTATATAGATAGTGCATTGTAAATCGGCCAGGAATAGTTGCGGCTAAAGAGTTCTCATTACAGATAGAGAATTGGCCCTTCTTTCTGTTTATCAGAAAGGAGCGCGTCGTTCCTGACAATTATTAAAGGGGATGACCTATTTACTGCAATACATCATTTTTTGCTATCAAGAAACCTATTGGATCCAAGACAGTTTTTTCAAATTGTGTGCTCTTGATTTTTAGCATGCGGTATGTATGTCAAAGTTGGAAGACTTATGTTGCGAACAGTGACGGTTGTGGGTTTTTTGAGTGGCGGGTTCAAACACGTCTGATATGTCCAAATATGTCTAATGGAAACGCTTAAGTTCCCAGATCTGGCTTACTCTATGATCTATTTGCAAATGGTCATGATTATATCAAAAACGGGGGACTATTACCATGGATTGAATTGATCGCTGGTCTCTAAGATTCAAATTTAGATTCAATGAATAATTTAACTGGATGCTTTTAATAGTATTGGATAATGGTTATTTGATCACATTTTTCAGATGGGACACGCTGGGTGAGTTCACGACTAGTCAGCCACTGCCGGTGCTGAAGGTGCGTCTCTTCACAGAAGCCACTCAGTTCTACCAGTTGGACGACAAGGAGCTCGGAAGAGTGAGTAAAATCAACTTCATTAATCAGTTCGCTACATAAGGTTCATGGCACATAATCCGGCGATGATTAACTCAGTTCTGGAGAACCATTTAAAGGATAACATTTTGGTAATTACACACGCAATCATGTGTCTTAGAAAACGAGTTCCCTTTTTTCCAAACTAGCTGGCATAAATTAGTGCACAACAAATTGGCGTTTTGACTCTTTATCTTTAGACAGCCCACCCGTCCTCTCTCACTTTGGAGTTCTTGTTGTTCCGACTTTCGCAACGAAAGTAACGGAATATTTGTGCTCGGGGTGGTTTTTTTTTCTGCAGACAAATTTCGACTTTTTAACTAGCCATTTTTGACGGAGATTTTTTTTGTGTCATTCAAAAGGTATTGTTGTCCTGAGCTTAAATTTGAAAAAATATTTTACCTGTGATTTTTTTTCGTAAAGTTATGGAAGTTTAAAGATAACCATTTTGGCCAATTTGGGACAATTAACGCGCGATATATTTCGCGCTGTTAACGTGTGAGCGGAGATTTGATTCGTCTCAGAAATCGTTCCAAATTGGTTGAAGGAAGCTTAATTGCCATAATTGATTTGTTACTAGGAGTGAAATTTATCATTCTGTACTTTATATGGCTGTGGGGCGATGGATGATTTTCACAAAAAATCTCAAATTTAAAAAAAATGTTCGTTTTTATTATTTTTCTTACGTTTATTTTTTTCATGTTATCACTGCTTCATACACCTTAGAAGTAAGCCGGAATATTCAGGGCTTTGCGCTGATACGAGCAGTCTTGTTTAAAAACTTCTGACTGTTTCATTTTTTTTGCTGCTAACTTTTAATGCTATGTTTGTGTGGTATCGCAAGTGTTACAAAGCTCTGCTTGGCCTCTGTATTTGAGTATATCCCGCCAAATACATGGCACTACACACTTTGCCGGGGTTCCTTTTTTGTTGATGACACGGTGAAAGTTTGTAAGAGCCAGGGTTATGTATAATGCCGAAAGGAATGAGTAGTATAAAGATAAGCAAATTGTGCAGTTAGGCCGGCTTCAGACGCTGTTAAACCGAAACCTGGAGAATTCTGAGCCTATCTGGACCTATTGGAGGGAATCGCTTGACACCATATGCGTTTTTACGGTGGCGTCCCTCATGCTTGAAGGACCGATTGCTTGGAATTAATTTTAGCGTACTTTCAGCCAATCAGAATGGAGTATTCAAAATCTCAAAATAAATCACGAAAATCTCAAAGTAAGAAAATAAATCCAGGCCATTAGTGTCAATACTGACCGATTAAATACTAAGCAGATGAGTTTTCAAGACTGAAAAATTCTTATTATTTTGAACTCATTAATCTTGATGATTATCTGAATAGTAATGCGGTTTTAACCTGCAAATTGTACTATTTTTGATTATTTTCCACTGATTTATTACGTTTTCTGTTAATATTTACTTCGATTTTGTGAGAAAGGCATTTAGCCAATAAAAACGCTTAGCGATTTTGATTGGTTGAAATTTTTCAAGCATTCGGTCCTTCAAGCATGAGAACCCTCCCCCGTTTTGACCCATTCAGTAGTCGGATACACCATTTATATTTGGTGCATATTTGGGGCGTCATTTGAATGCCAATGCCAACATATTTGAACTTTTTATGAGGCATCTGTAATTCAGGTGGTATTGACGATTAACCCGAACTTCAACAGCAACAAAACTCAGCAGTGGTTTGACATGGAGGAGCCGGGAGGGGGAGGGGGCAAGAAGAAGAAAGAGGAACAAGACACGGTTGAGCAACTGAAGGTCAAGCTGAAGATTCTCATGGACAGACCCCAGAACATCAAGAACTGCGGGTAAGAAGAATCGAAAGTAGCAACCATGAAATACTGCTGTTCGATTAAAGTTCGTTGAAGTCTTTTTTGAAAGGATATTTATTGGGTTCTGAAAATAAGAAACCCGGCTCTTAAGATTTAAACGAAAATAGTACTTTTATCGAATCACTGATTGCAGAAATTGCTTGAATGGCAAATTACGATCTTTGATAATTTGATATTCGTTTATAAACCAAAACTGCTCGTTTATAAACCAAAACTATTCGTTTATAAACCAAAACGATGGAAACCGACTCCAATTTCGATTAAGCGTTTCAAGGTCACGAATTTTTAACATGTTTCAGGTACCTGTGGTCTCAAGGAAAAGACCAACTGTGGGCCAAACTGAAGAAGCGTTTCATGGTTCTCATCCAAGTCAGTCAATACACATTCGCCCTGTGCTACTATCGCAAGAAGAAGTCGGAACCCTCGGATATCCTTCAGCTAGATGGATTCACAGTCGACTATTCCGAGCCCAAAGAAGGTCATTCTTTTCCTGTAGATTAGTTTAGTGCATTCTCGCATGCCATTTAGTCAAGTTGAAACTATTTTTAGCAATCTGGTAGTTCAAGCTGCGATAATTAATTAGTTGGATTGATTAATTGGAAGGCAGCAAGGTAGGGTCTAACTCGCTCTGAGGAGTCGGTTGTCTATTGGTTAACATCTATCTTTTAACATTTCACTAATTCAGACAATCTATATCATATTAACTTGATTTCAAAAAAATGGTTTTCAATACTGCTGATTAAAAATAACTCTTTGAAATTTTAATTAACTTAATTATTAACAGTCGATGAACGTAGTTCAGACTCTTATATAAGTCGCGATGATTTTTTTTCGTTTCAGGGAAAGCTGTAAACTTTGTTGCGGCCCATTTTTTTTCGCGGGTTGACTTTTGATTTTTTTTAAGTTCAGTTCAATTCCTTTGTTTATAGGAAGGCAAACTCAATTATCGAGCATTAAAAGTGTAAAGGTCACGAAAAAGATGATCAATTTCTAGTTTCGAAAGTGAATTTTAATTGTCAGATTTCACAGCGAAATAAAAAAATTTCTTTTTGATCCAGTTTTCTCAAATTGGGTTTAAGGGCATCTACTTTTTTCGAAATTTGAAACTTGACAAGTCAGTATTTTTTTTCTGTTAACTTGCGTTCATGGACTCTTTTCCAACTGTCTGTTGGCTATGTTATTAAACTACTAATTAAGAGAAGACTCTCATGTTTGTATAAGTGAATGTTCCGCTTTTGTACATGTAAAAGATCGAAAACTGATTTCATTTATGTCATGTAAAGATAAGAATGTTATGCTCAATCAATCATTTCTATCTCAATTTTTAGGCCAATCCCCAAAACTGTTTTACTTCAACGCTGTAAAGGAAGGCCAATCGGCAGACTTCGCTGCTGAAAATGAGAATGAGCGAACCGGGTGGATAACTGCTTTGGTGCGAGCCACAGGGCAGAGCTATAGACCAGAACCTCCAACCAGGGTTAAATCGCAGCAGATAAAGTCAAGTGACAGTGCCAAATTCACCCAGTTTATAAATGCCAGTGTGGAAACCATTGATCATCATGTGATGTTCAGGAAACTGCAGAGTTTGACCTTGAATTACAGACTGAGCGACACGTATTGTAGCCTAGTACGTGAATTATTTAATCATCGGTTTTGCAGCAGGGTTTTCGAGTCGGGCTTATTTTCAGGGGGTTAAGTTTCGGTAACTGTGTATCAGTTAATACAAGCAGAAATTGAAAACTGTTGAAATCTATTTCAAAACGCGTGTTAATCTAATTGCTATTTACAAAAGAAACACTTATGTTCAAAAATGTCTATTTTAGGGCTGGTTATCTCCGGCGCAGGTGTTCTTGCTGGACGAGTACTGTGCTAGATATGGAGTGCGTGGCTGCCATAGACACCTTTGCTACCTACAGGACCTCATGGACAAGGCCAGAGTAGGATACCTCATCGATCCAACCCTCATACACTACTCGTTCGCATTCTGCGCGTCACACATACATGGAAACAGGTGAACAATAGTTTTTTTGTGAGAGAAAGTGACTTGTAATTGGGAGCTAGACTTTTCCGTCATAAACAACTTTCTTAAAAATTCAGCTGACATGCTCAATTCTGCCGACATGCTCAAGGCTGGCGTGCTAAATTTCTTGAAAATCAAATGAACTAACTAGCTCTTGGTTCAATTTAGATAGTAATTATTATTTTTCAAATATACGTATTGAAAAACTGTTGATTTTTTGGAATTGTGGATTGCGTCCTAACATCTGTCGGCTAGTTGATTTCTAGTTTCGAAAGTCGAATTAAAGTTTAAGATTTTCAGTGGAATAAAAACTTAACCAGTCGATCCAGTTTTTGTACAAACAATGATTGTGTTGTACTATGAACTATCTTTTTTTCCCAAACTAAGTCGCAAATATTGTTGAGATAAAATGTGTTCATTTTGAAAGTTCATTTTGATCAAAAAGCAGCTACTAAGTACCGCCAACGCTAAGGATTTTAACTCAGACCATTGTTGTTGTTCTGACTTTTGTAACGAAAGTAACGGAATATTTGTGCTCGGGGTGGTTTTTTTCTTCAGACAAATTTCGACTTTTTAACTGGCCAGTTTTGAGGTTTTTCTTATCATTCGAAAGGTATTGTTGTCCTGAGCTTAAGTGTGAAAAGATATTTCCCCTGTGATTAATTTTCGTTATGGGGGGTTTAAAAATTGCCATTTAGGCCATTTTGGGACATTTAACGCGCGATATATTTCGCGCTATTAAAGCGCGAGCAGAGATTTAATCCGTCTGAGAAATTGTTCTAAATTGGTTGATAGAAGCTTATTTGCCGTTATTGATTTTTTTAAGGAGCGAAATCTATTACTCTCTAATAAATATTGCGTGTGGGGGGATGATTTTTGCAAAAAATATCTCAATTTAAAAAAATTCATTTTATTTATTTTTTTCATGATATTACTGCTCCATAGAGAGCTCTATAAATTGACTTATATTAGTTGGTAATTTTTTTTTAATTGACTGTTTATGCGTCATAGTTGGCGTGCGTCACTTAAGAAAATGTTTATACTCAAAGGTTTACTCATTCAGTTTTTCCCAGTAGCTTTATCGGTCATATTTTTGCTTGTGTATGCGAAGTGCAATTTCGCCTCTGTGTCTCAAGTTGGGTAAATGTTATCAAAAATCGTCCAATCATTAGTGGTTGTAAAAATGCAAAGAGCTTAAATGGCATCTATTTTTTTCGTTGAAATCCGAAAATTTGAGATTTTTTGGTTTGCTTGCGTTCATTACTCTTTTCCAATCTTCGATTGGCTATGTTTATTTTTTTAAATTTTTTCAGAAAAAAGCGCAAATCCAATTGAAAGTTTCAATCAAAAGATTAAATTATTGGGATCTTCCTTTCTTAATCAATCGACTATTCCCTAAACTTGGTAAAAAAAGTTATGGCCTCAAACATACCCATTTCTTGACATTTTGGTTACTTTTAAATTTTTTTTCGACTTTTCTCAAAAACTACCCTGCAAAATTGGAGATTAAGGGTTTAACCGAAAGCAAAAATCAATTATGCAACTCTCCTCTGCGCAACCGCCTATGCATTACGTTTTGAACAAAATATTGCATTAGAAAATGTCCGTTTTTTGAAATGTTGCCTGTTTTTTTAGGAAACTTTTCCTTTCCAAAAACTAACCTGCCAGTTCTGAGGTTGATAATTTATCAAACTAACATGGTGCTTACGTTTTGCCTGCTTTATCTGTTATACTCTACTTGTTTGAAGAAAAGCCGTCATGGTTTTCGGAAAAATCCTTTTAATTGAATTTTTTTCCACCAATTTTAAAGAAATTTTGTCACTTTTTTCAAGCATTTTTAGCTAAATCTGAAGTTAAGGGTTTAGTCTAAATTTCAGGAAATCTTCCCTGCACAAGAGGCTATTCCCAAGTTTTAGTAGAGAAAAGTTTATGGATTTAGGAAAAGTCAAATTTTGAATTTTTGGTCAATGTTTGGATTCTTTTTCACTTGTTTCGAAAACTACCGAGTCAAATCTGAGAGAAACAATTTAGTTGAAAGAGATAGTTGTAGTTTTCCCTTTAAATCATCGGCTAATCTTCTACTTGAGCAGAGAAATCACTAGGGTTTTGCGTAAAGTCTTTTTGTAATTTTTTTTAAATTACGCATTTCCGTATCAGTACAATATGATTAAGAGTATTAAAACAGGCGCATCCAGTATTAACTGGTCCACTAGTTTACTTCCAAGCAACCGTGGCGCAGATATGGGCACGTGAGACTCCAAATCAACAGGTCGGAGATTCAACTCCGGAAAATGGGTCGAGCTTTTGCTACATAGCATTGGCAATTTGATAGAAACTGTAGCTGCCTGATTGTTGGCTAGTGTTAGTGAAATTATAAGCGATCGCGGTGGAGATGTGAGAACGTGAAACTCCTAGTCTCAGCAAAGAAAAGTTCTCAAGTTGTATTTTAAGTCTTTTCCTTAGGCCTTTTTTCACTTTGTTTTGCCCGTTTAGAGCTCTTTTTTTGCAGTTTCCTAGCTTTTGTTTGCGAAGCGCAGCTTTGCCTCTGTGTATTATTATATATTTTTTCCAAGCTAACTAGCAAATAAAAATTCTCAATTTATTGGTATTTTTGTTATAATCACGATCTGTAGCATTGGAAATTTCATTGCATCTTTTTCCTGTATCTGTGGCTAGTTTTAAGCAGTCGGTTACTGTCAGTGGCTGAGAGGGAAGTGGGTGAGACTCTTAATTTCGAGGTTGCAGGTGCCAGTACGGCTCATAGAAAAGTTAAAATATTTCGAGGCTTGTTTCTACTTTTCCTTATTTCAGATTCGGTTTTGAGTTTTGTTTTTGATTTAAACAGTTTCAAATACAATCCACAGTTTTTCTGTAGCTTGTGATTTTAACTACTCTGATTTGTAACAATTTCATGGAGTTTTTTATTTTGAACGGATTCGGCCTATGTTATATCGGCTAAGTCAACTTGTTTTTCGTGGTTTCACAGGCGAGTTTGTTCAATGCTTTCGCCTGTTCGAACAGGAATGGGTCGTAGAAAGATTAGATTTTAAATTTACGATAGCCCAAAAATTGTGCAGTTCCGATTTCGGCTCAACGAGTGTCTTAAAGTTACTTTAGCTTCAAGTTTTTTATGACCACAGTTTCGTTTTCGGATTAACGAGTGTCGACCGAAGCTTCCTCGCTTTAGCTGCCACGCTATCATTCATTCTCAATGCTTCTAAAGGCTGTTTATGAAAATCATCCGAGACAAAGTTATCAAATTTCTGTAGATCAAATTTTTATCAAATTTTTCGGCTTTCATTCATGTTCTCAAAAGGTTAATCAAAAGATTTCCGAAATTCAAACAACCTCAAAGTCGCGTTTTTTCACTTTTTAAGGGTACTGTTTTTTCAATTTTTGAAACTCAAAAGTTGATTGTTTGCTGATATTATTGACACTTTTCCTGCTGTTTTTACTTAAAAGTAACAAAAATCAATTTGTGGAAAGTGTTTGCAGATTTAAAAATCTTATTTAGGCTGTAATATTTTTGTCGCTGATTTTTAGGTTCGATTTTTTAGGCAAACTCCACTATCGAACAGCAAAGGTGTAAAAGTCACGAAAAACGTGGTTTACTTCTAATTTCGAAAGTGAACTTCAATTTTCCGAACTCCTCCTGATGAAATTTCTCAAACTTTGTTAACTTTATAAAAAGATGTGTCAATCATAAACTTTTCAAGAAATCAAAAGAGCTGGAAGACCATCTTTTTTCTTTGAATTTCGATTGTTGAGGTTTATTAGTATTTTTTTTCTGTTAATTTGCGGTCATCGAGTCTTAACTGTCTGTTGGCTTTATTTTAAATAATTTAGAAAATTAATATGTTTTTAGAGCATTTAACCATAAGGAAGCTATTACTGTTATCGAATTTCATGCGAAATTTCTACCGTGCGTAAAACCGCAGAAATTTCTTTAAAAGATTATTTCCTCGTCTGGTTGATTTTTGTCTGTTTTGTTTTCAGGAAAGTCTTAAAATGCTCTAACATCTACAGAAGAGCATGTACATTTTATGTACGTTTTTTAAGTTCAATTGAAGTTCGTTTGCTAAAAGGTAGGCATAAAATGAAATCGGATATGGTGCGAAAAAAAAACGTGAAAGACTTCTATTTTAGAAAGTAGATTTTAATTTAAAGATTTTCCAGCGGAACAAAAAATTGATCCAGTTTTCTCAAATTAGGTTAACATTTATCAAACACGTGTCAATCATAAATTGTTCTTGAAATTCAAAGAGCTTTAAGGCCATATATTTTATCTTGAAAATTCGAAAGTGACGTTCTTTTTTCAAAATTAAGTTAGTATTTTTCTTTTTCCTTGTGTTCATTGTCTTTTTCGAACTGTGTGTTTTTATATAATTTACCGTGTTCAGATTATTCTCTCCCCCCAGTAACTGATTAGGAGAAAGAAAGAAAGAAAGAAAGAATTTATTTCTCATTGTTAATGGTAAATATGCATAAAACGAGAATTAAAACATGAAGCACCAGAAACAGTGAGGGGACAGTTAATGAACCCAATTGGGTTACAGAGCACTGCCCGATTACACTTGTTTAGTTTATGTACTAGAATCTTTTGTGCGAAAAGTCATTTGTGCAATGTGTTTAGACCGGATGCGATTGGGACAGTGACTGTGGACGAGAAAGAGAGATTTGAGAACTTGAAAGAGTCCCTCAGAGAGTATCTGGAGAAACAAGTCACCAATTTCAGGTTAATAAGAAGTGCCACAGTTTTGTGTAGGTATTAATCAACTCAGGGGGAATATGTCGATTAGCTGAGATGACCTCACATAATTGAAGTACCTGGTAGGAAGGTTCTGACCACGAAGTCCTTTTTGGCTCAATCCTAAGAAACGTTTCTTAGATTTGGTTAATGTTTTGGGTGGATTCAAGCTAACCATTAGTCCAGTGCCTAAGAGTTCATCTAGTGATATATGTTTCAGGTACTGCTTTCCATTCGGCCGACCAGAAGGATCCCTGAAAGCTACGGTGTCTCTGTTGGAGAGGGTAAGTGGACGGAAACACTATTTGAAGCACCGTTGGGCATTCAATTTATTCCGACATTGTTACCGCCAATCGGGCAGTTGCAAAATCAACCTGTCTTTAGGTGTATTTGTTTTCCTTTCTGAAGTGTTTTCCTTTCTGAAATAATATCAGAGTGGCTCGCCACTGTATTTCTGCGAGAGTATTTCTGTCCTTAAGAAAACTAACTAATTTATAGTTCTAGCTAGCCTATAAAGTCATTTATTTGCTGATGAGGAAGGAGCTGTGGTATGAATTGGTAACTTGGTATGTTTTGCAGGTAATTCGCGAAGCTCACACAGAGGTGGTATAACACTGCTAATATGCTGATCTGTTGATCTTTGCTTTTTCGGACTGTTTCGAGTTTTGTTCAACTTAAAAACAAGTTCCGTTTCGATTCATATCCAATCCCCTATCACAAACACACCCTATCATATCAACTGACCTGGACGCAATATCAATTTTTTAACCTCCCAACAGGGGATGTTTTTTGCTAGTAAAAGCAAACAGACCTGAGTTTCAGTTTTGTACGTTGCAACAAGCTACTCGGTATGCCTTCTATACACTTGCAATTTCTGTTGAAGCCACCTCAATTTAAAGATGACCAGTTTATTAGCATGTGTGTCGATCAGCGTTTCTATATGAAAAAAAAATATTGGATTTTTCTCGGTTTAAAATTGGGTATTTACGCTGTAGGCTAACATATACCGAAACATTTTCGTTTTACTTCATTCTAAAGCAATTGTCGCGCGATGAGCGACGCACATGCTAACGCTACGTTACTTGATATAATTCAGTTATTACCGGTAAACCACAAACGGCACTAATTCTGTTATTTTGAAAATTTTTAGTTTAACTGAAATTCAGAGTGTGCAGAGTTTGATTCTAAATATTGGCTCGAAGAGTGATTTAGAACATGGACTGATTTGGTTTTGACTTCTGTAATTAACGGCTTCGATTATTAGAAAAAGTTCATGTTTCTTTTTAAAAATATAAACTGACGTGCCAGATAAATAAGCTGACAGACCTGACATTAAGAAGACAAAATAGATACACAGTCATCGTCATCTGATTGGTTATCAAAAATAGGCCTTGCCACGCGAGTTCTAAGACTAAAGAGGCAAAATTAAGTGTCGATTTCTCCTTTTTCTTGTACCTGTTTTCTTGAAGTAATTGCGAAAGTATTTATCGCCTGAACATCTCTAATTGCGTTTTCCGAACACCTTTAAATCACAATGAAAAAATTGTTATGGTCGTTCTTGTATCTCACATGCGAGCGTGCGATCACTCCGCGTATCGAAAAACAGACCGAGTATTCGTCAGTGGTACTCACTACTATAATACTAATGAACCTTGAATTGTTTGGTATTTAGGGACATGCATGTCACCAATTGCTGCTTGTGTCGAATTGCTCGCTCAAAATAAAAAATACAGTTTGTTTAAATTTTTTGCAATGAAACACATTCTCGAATTTGAAAGATTTTTTGAAAATGTGTAGGAACTTTGTATTCGGGTGTTTTAGTTTTTTTCTTTTCGTTTTCCACGCAAAAGCAGCTGCCACAAATAATCATCGGACTAGATTGAGTGATATATCATATTAAATTTTCAGTCGTGATTCGAAGGACATAAAAAAATTTGAAAAATTTTTCCGTGTCGAAAAAAACCGGTTTGAAATTTTTGATTTTTTGTCTTAATCCGCGCAAATAAAGCAAGCGAGCAGGCTTACAACACTGAATTATACCTAAATTAGGACCTTAAAATTTAATATTAAGCTAGTAAAACTAGTTTTTGGATTTTTATAGCTTCATTTTGGGAACCAAAAACTTCAAAAATTCTGCGTTGTTTTGCACAAAATAATGCATCATATTATTTCTCGTGAAATACTAATCAACCTTTTTTCCCTTCAGTTTTGGTCTTATTTTTACCCAAATTGAGGAAAACGGGTTTGAAATTTCAAATTTTGTTAGTTTTGTCCGGATAATTTAAATCAGCACTTCAAGGTTAATCTGTTCCGCTGGAGTTGACGCGGTTCTGAAATTATTTCGACAGGTTTGTTTTTACGATTTTGATGGACGAAATACTAGCAGTCTCCAGAGTTTTTGCGTCGCAATTGGGAGACAAGGAGATATTTTCGAGCAGATTTTTTGACGGTTTTTTTACAAGCTAAATTTCTGTTGCGCTTTTAAAATTTGGAGGAGGCATTAATGCAGTCTAAAAATATCGTTGAAAATTCGATGATTTTTCTTGCAATATTTGAAGCTTGTTCTTAAAAAATCTGAATTTACGAGTCTTGGTGGATGTTATTTTTCATTTGTTATTTTTGAACGTAATGAAGACTTATATAGGTCATGATGATTGTTTAAATATTTTCTTTTCAGAAAGTCTTTGTTCACACCAAGTTTCGTCTTTTGTGACTTGACTTTTGTTTTTTAAAAGTCACTGGACGTAGTGAAAACTGCTTTATAGGTTATGGTGCTTTTTCAGGAAAATTCTTAAAAATGCTCTTATATAAACAGATATACATTCATACTTAATGATGTATTTATGAATGCATTTAGGTATATATGCACTTTTTGAGATCAATTCAAATTCATCTGCTAAAAGCTGGGCAAGTTGTGGTGGCCAAGTACGAACGTGGAAGTGGCGCGAAAATACAAATTATTTTTAGTTTCGAAAGTCTTTTTTTTCAGGTTTTCCAGTGGAACCGATGTTATACCTATTGCTTAAGTTTTCTCGAATTGACTTAATTTCATCAAAGAAAGTTTGATCATAAATTTGTCTTGAAGTTCAAAGAGATTTTGGGGCCATGTATTTTTAAGAGTATTGAACGTAGTGAAGACTCTTATATAGGTAATGGTGCAGTTTGTGTGTGATTTTTTTAAAGGAAAAATCTTAAAATGCTCTAATAAAAACAGATATACATTCATACATATTGATGCATTCATGAATGCACTTAATTATATCTGCACTTTTTGAGTTCAGTTGAAATTCATCTGCTGAAAGTGACGCAAATAGCATTCTCGAAACACGAACGTGGAAATGGCGCAAAAAAAATGTGAACGATTTCTAGTTTCGAAAGTCGAATTTAATTTTTAGATTTCCAGCGGAATAAAAACTTTACCTATTGATTCAGGTTTCTCTAGTTGGGTTCATGTTATCAAAAAAGCGCCAATCATAATTTATGCTAGAAATGCGAAGAGTTAAAAGGGCATCTGTTTTTTTTTCTTTGAATTTTGAAAGTTGAGATTTTTTCAGGAAAGTCAGTGTGTTTTCATTAGGTTTACTTGCGTTCATTACTCTTTGGCAAACTTCGATTAGATATTTGTTAATTGGAGAAACAAAAATTGAAAATTTGTCAAAAATTAATAAGTTTATTGTTGTTTCCAACTGCTGTTGGCTATGTTTACCCTTGCGACAAGTAAGGTTGTCGCAATCGGGTACTAGACTTTCCCCCTTAAATATTTTCTTCACAGAATGGTTAAAATTGGAAAAAGTAAATTAGTTTCAGTTCATAAGAATTCCAATTTCTCTGCGTCTCCTTAACAGTTGGTCCGGAGTTAAAGAATGCGCCTGGGAAGGAAAAGGTCCTGGGTTCGAATCTGACTAGACCTGTTTTTTTTTCAAACGGGAATAGTCCGTTTCAAAAACAATTGTTGACTAATTACTGTCTGCTCAAGTTTTGTCTGCTTAGTTGCCATATTGTTGAATTGTTTTTTTTAAAATTGTTTTTGCATATAATTGCTTTAAGTGTTCTGATCTACCTCTGCTGTTTGTAATTTTACTAAACCTGACTTCAAATGTTTTTTTTTCGCTGAAAGTTTTTATTCAGCCAAAATGATTTGAACCAATTTTTTTCTCGTCCTAATGACCTGATTTTTTTGAGTCGTTTTTTAACGGAAACATTTTTCGATGCTCACCTCTTGATTGCACAAAACGCTTAAAATCTTAATAGAAATTATAATTCAAGTTTTTCATGACAAAATTTTTTCCGGTTTTTTCGTATTTTTTTCGGCTTGATAGATTTCAGCCTGTTTTATATCAGCTTATTAGACTCATATTGCGTGTTTTGATGAGCGGGAAAAATTGTGTGTGCGTTTCTGTGCTTTGAAAGTGAGGGGGACTTAATAACTTTTATGGCTTAAATTTTCTGATTTTTTTGTCTTTTTTGTTTTCTTTTTAACGCTTAATAGGTTTCGGCCTATATCATGTCGACTTAGTGGCCTCTTATTGATTCATTTGACAAGCAAATAATGTTTTTGAGTGTTTGTGTGTTTTGAGGGGGACTGATTTATTTTTCATATGTCTTGTTGGTTTTTTCGGCTGAAAGGGGTTTCTGATAAGGTTTTTTAGTCTTTGTTTTATATTGTTCTAGCATATTTTTTTATTTTTTGTGTTCCTTGTTTTGCATTTTTTTGTGTTGGCATTTTACATTTTTGCTTATTTTACTTTTTTTTGTGTTGGCATGTTTTTTGTTTCAAAACTAGCCTTATTTATTTTGATAGATGTAGTTTTTGGCATTTTCGATTTTTTTTCTTTATCGCAAGTGATGCAAAGGTGAGCTTCGCCTCTGTGTTGTTCTTGTGATTAACAAGCGTTATCGAACCAAAATATACCTTTTTTCGGGTTAACAACTAGTTTAACAAAATCAGTTAGCACAGCTGCTCTGAATGCAACAGAAAAGAATGTCTGCTAACAGATTATTTTGCATTTTAAATGGCCGCTCCATTCGAATTTTTATTAGATGTAAATCAACTCATGTGTTTAGTTTTAGCTTATTTTTTAGCTTTTTTCACTTCAAGGTTTTTTTGGCTGAAATTGTTTTGGCTGATGCATATCTGTTTAGTTGCCTCATAGTTCGTCGATTGAATCACCAAAATTATTAAATTGTTTTTGTGCTTACGAAAGGGTGGGGGGCGTAACACTTAAAGAATGACTCAATGGCTTTCTTTTGTTTTTAATACTTACTAAACACTGGCAGTTGTGTTTCTCAGTGTTTTCCCTTAAATTTACCAGCGCTCCAGACAAACATTTGAAAAAAAATAATTGCGTCCAATTTTTTTTTGCTAGCTGCCGTGCCATTTTATTGTATCGCAAAGGTGTTAAGCTCAGCTTTGCCTCTGTATTTCAGTTCAGTTCTATTCATGCTGAAACGGGGACAAATATTCCCTCCTATTATGAAAGCGGAAATGGCGTGAAAAAAAAATCTTCGACTTCTAGTTTTGATAGTAGATTTTTATTTTGAGATTTCCCTGCAGAATAAAAAAATTCACGTATTTAACCAGTTTTCTCAATTTGGGTTAATTCTCAAAAAAGTGGCAATCATGAATTTTTGTCGAAATTCAAAGAGCTTTAAGGCCTTATAAATTTTCCTTTTAAAATCGAAAGTTTGAAGTTTTTTGGAAAACATTTTTTTTTTCATTTTTCTTGCGTTCAATGACTCTTTTGCAACTGTCTACTGGCTATCTTATTGAGGTTAAAAGAGCTTGAAGGCCATCAGTTTTTCTTTGGAATTTAAAAATTGACGTTTTTCAAAAAAAAACAAATCCGTTTTTTTATTTCCTTGCATTCCTTGACACTTTTCCTTCAGTTTGTTGGCTATGGTTTGATTTTGGCTGTTGGGATAGGAAAAACAAAAAAAACTGAAAAACTTAGTTGATCCTAATTTTTTCTAAGAAAAAAAAAGTTATTCGAGACTAGTTAAAAAAGGCAAGTCGGATCATTCTGTGTTTGCCTTGCTACGAGCAGTCTTATTTGAGTTTACATTTATTTTTTGAATTTTTACATTAATTTTGATTTCTCATGAGTTCACGCTCACATCGCTTTTTAGGTTTTTACTGTATGATTCTTCAATTTTTTTTGCAAATACTTGTCTGTTGGCTTTTCTTTTTGTCTCGGTATGTTTTTGCTTCTAGTTTTTAAAAATTTTTGACGTGACATCTTATTTATCAAAAAAGCTCTTGAATGGCCGTTCGCAACTTCGCCTTCTTTTTCAGCTTTTATTTGCCTAAGTACAGCTTCGCCTCGATGTTTGCTTGCTTCTGGCAATGCACAAAAAAAATTGAGTGCAGTGCAGTTTCAAACAATGAAGGCTATGCTAACTCAGAATATTCAGACATATACGTTGAGATATTTCAACTAGTTTCCATTGGAGAATCTGATTTGAAATATAGGGATTATAGACCACCCAAATTAACTTGCTAAACCATTCTTACGTAAAAGTTGGAAAAGATGCGAAACTACGTTTCATTTATACTTGGTCAAAATATCTTTGCAAAAGAGCACGAAATACAATCGCCTGAGCCTAAAAGGTGATATCATTTCAAAATTAAATTATGCTGATTCGCACCAATAGTAGGGGAGTTTTTTTCGGCCAAAGAGTTGGGTTAAAAAAAACGATTTATTGAGGCGCGATATTCCAAATTAAATCTGGTTACACAAAATTTTGCTAAGGCTTCGACTATCGTCTTATTAAATCTTTTATGCCCTGATTTACTGTATGAAGAATAAGTCTAAGCTATTTTCTAGGCCTCGCGTCAAAGCTGATTTATTTGTTTTCTTATCAGCGGCGGTTTGGACCAAGTTGTAGAATGTTAATAAATATTTGCAAAAAAATAAAGACTTGGGTGCTGATTTTCTTGATAAATAGTGCTGGCCGTTATAAAATATGGAAGGCAAAGAAACCAAGAACATTTTTGAGTGTGAAGTTGATTTTGACATTGATTTTCATTTCTGTAGTTTTTAGTTATAAACTGAGTTATTCATAAATTGGACAACATCTTTGAGTGGAACAGAATGATAATTCAGTAGGCAAAATGGTTTGTTTTGGAATTCTTAGGAATGATTTTATTAGAATATTAACTTAACTGTTTTGAGTTTGTGGTAATTAATGAAAATCATAAATAGATATCCCATATAATGCAATATCGGTCATTTTAAAGGATAATAGGAACAAATATCGGGTAATATAGAGTTGCATCTGGCCTTTCAAATGTTGTTGGAGGCATCTCATTTTTTTTACCAGAAGTATTCAAAATCTCTTTACAATTAATTTTTTTTAATTCAAGTAAATCGGGAACATGAATCTGATCACATATTTAGTCTCAGTTAGACTCCAACCATAACCTCTGCTGTTTGTGACCTTGACTTGACATTCACTAATGACCTTAGAGTGTGGAGTAAGGGGTCTAATTTGTTGTTAGGTGTTGATGAAGGATGTCGTGACCCCCGCCCCGCCCGAAGAGGTGTGCAAAGTGGTGAAGAAGTGTCTGGAAGGATCTGCGCTGGTTAATTACACAAAGATATCGGACTACGCCGAAGTCGAAGGTAACAATATGATGAACATACTGAAGTTGAATAATTTTGATTGATGAGCTGAATATTTGGAGTCGTTGAAGTGGTTAAGTCCATATATTGAAGATCTTTGAAAATTAACTGAAGTTATGTGCAATTATCTTGCAGTCGCATCCGGTCAACTCGCAATCACGACCTCGGGATCAAAAATTCATGACGTTTGTTTTTACCATTCAGAATGATAATAGAGTATGCTTGAAATCTTTTCTTGAACGTCTAATCAGATTTTGAGTTTGATTTTGACTGGTCAATCTCATTACCATAGTTGAAATATTCCGCTGTATTGGTCAATTCCGATTGATACCATGCTTTGAAACATAAATATTGTGATAATTGAAATTGGCGTGAAGTTTAAGTAGTTACGCTTGCGATTAGCAAGCGTTATCACACTGGAATACAGACTTTTTTCTAGTTAACAACTAGTTTAACAAAATTAAATGAATCACTTGCTGAGGAGGAGGAGGAAAGGCAGCTGACTTCTTTTCTATGCAGCTTACTTCTTTTCACTTCTCTTCTATTAACATTTCAGGTTGCGTCGTCCTTGACGTCGAGGTAAATCAGTTGCCTCTGTACCCTAACGGCTGGGGTTTGAGTCGTGGGCGGATCTTTTTTTGTATCAAGAAAATTGAAAAACAAATTCCGAGAAAAATGTATTGTTGGTTTTCGTTTGTTCGCTCAAGTTTCGTCGGCCAAAATGCCACATCGGATTTTACTTGTTCTGTAGACAATATTCATTGTAGTTGCAAGTGCAAGTGTTGTTCATTCTCAATTTCAGTGGGGACTTGAAAAAATCAAAAAATCGTTTTTTTTTCTGTTCAAGTGGTTTCAGCTCAAAGATTGTCGGGCTAGTTGTCACATCACTGATTTTTTTTGTGCTGTAAATAACTTTCATTGTAGTTGCAAGTGCAACTGTTGTCCATTGTTGTTTAAGGTGGGACTATAAGCTTTTTTTATAAAATCATTTTTTTTTCGGCTCGACTTGTGTCTTCTCAAAGATTGTCGGCTTTGTTTCTTTTCCTAAATTTTGTTCCGTTGTTACTGCTTTAAAATTGAAGTGTCTGGTATGTTTGCCTGGAATGAACTTCTATCGAGACATGGAAGTTTGTGACCTTGATTTTTTTCAAAAAAAATTTTTTGGCTTTGTTTTTGTGTTTCTGTTGTATCGCAAGTGATGCGAAGCTCCGCTTCGCCTCTGTGTTTAACGCAGTTTATCATATTTTGGAATGAATTTTTTTTACTTGAGCTTTTAAAAGCGGTATATTTTTCTAAGTTATTTGCACAAACTAGTTAATACCCTTGCGATAAGCCAGTTTATTGCAACCGGATACTTGGCTTTTTCCCATAAATAAAATAGTTCGCAGATTGACATGTGTGTAATTGGTGGTAATCTCTAAATGTATAGCGTTTCAATCAACAGACTTTTTTTGAGTTTGTCTGCTTTTTAATTACCCCTTCTGTTTACTCAACCGGAGCGTAGAATGATTCATTCTACTTAGTAACTTTTTCAAACCTATGTCGCTAATATTAGTTCTACTTCTGTTTAGTGTAATTTTTGCAGCCGACTGATTTGGCAGTGTAATAGTTTGACATTCGATTCGATTATCAATTTCAATTGATACATTTTTTTAATAGAAGAAAGCTATTTGTTGTAAACAACAGAATGAAAAATGAAAACTCCATTTCAGAATTTTTCAACTTAATACCTTTCGAGAAATTGATGAAATGCATAGTTTTTACCTAATTTGGTTTTGAACTTTTCAATTTAGTACATGCAAAGTTGGTTAGATTGCCTGTGGTTGATTACCTTCCAAAATATTACATGCGATTGTTAGTGATTTGTTTATCTCCTTTTTGCCGCTGTCTTAATTTTCTATAAGCGTCAGTGGAACAATTTTGTAAGTAGGGCGACTGGAAAGCTTGGATGCCCGAGGACTTCAGTTCCCGTTTTGCTCTCAAATCTCATTACTCTTTTCAGGTTGACCATTTTTCAACTACTTCTTCACATGTTTTTGCGAAGTTTGCTTAAATGTTATTATAAAATTACCAAATCCAATTTGTGAAAAAAAAAAGTTTTTTTTTGTTTTTTCTTTTTATTAGTCTTAAAAATGTTCCGCATATAATATATCAGTGTATAATATGTCGTCTGATGTGCTTAAATTTTCATAATGCGTATCTGTGTTTGCAATATTGGGCTTTGAAACGTTTTTTTGCGGATCAACGTGTGTCTGCTCAAGTATGTTCGGCGTTGTTACCGCTTGGTAACTTTTATTCCGATGGTCACTTCACATTCAGTTTTTTTTGTTTTTTATTGAGTTTCATTCAATAGTTATCGAGACAAATTTGATAGTTTTGAAGCTTCGCCTCTGTCCATTTTTACACAATGCACAAGGACATTAAGGTTAAACCTCAAAGTCGACCTCTAGGTGGAACCACTGGGTCTAGGGAGAAATGGATTTGGGTTGCGGGGTCACGGCAATTAGTTAGCGCAGAGTACCTACATGACAGTTGCGAAAAATTGAGCAAAATTATTTTGATAGCTTTTTTTAAAACTCTTTTAAGCAAATTTTTGATTTCACAAACAACCGACTTTGAAGTACGTTTGAAAAACTGACCACGTTTGAAATACTGACAAGACAACGGGAGTAGCCAAAACCTCAGAAAAAAGTGTTCCGCATCAGAATATCTCCCAAGTTATCATTGGAATCCACAAACCAGTTAGAACAAACATAAACTTGATAAGTTAGATGGAAATACACGTCTTGATTAGTTGGTATAAATATAATATGTTATGACTCTGTGTTAGATCCCTTGAACACGGACGAGCCCACTCCCAGACAGAGACTGGAAAGGGTGATCCGATTGGCGGAACTGTGCTGCGAGGTGCTCACCCAGAACGACGAATACCACGCAGAGGTAAGGAAAATTACCAATTTGTTTTAAAATAAATTGGCGGAATAGAAATCTTGACCAATAGTCAGTTAGTTAAAAAAAATCACTGATTAGGTTTCAGCACGGTCAAATTTCTTCCAAAGTTTCACAGCTAAAATGTTAAATCGATGTTCCTAGTCTAAATGAGGAGACAGCTGCATGTTTACCCAGTGATGTCCAGCTTAAAAAGTTTAACTGATTTATAAACCATTTAACAATCAAAATGTTCTTAAACAAATCAATTCAACCAATTTGGCTTTTAAGACAGGGTCCCCCTTTACTATTTTAAAATATCCATTTTTGGTGACTGACCCTAAAATTTTTTAAAGGCGCTTTGGGCGCCAATATATACTAATTTTGAGGGGGAGCGCGCGCCGAAAAAACGTGATTTATTGGTCATATTTTCCCAAAAAGTGCCTAAAAACGGCTTTTGGCCTGTTTTTTTTTAATTTTGCCTGCGGCACAGAAAATTTGGACAACACAAGGTTTTTTTTACAGCTTTAGGAGAGCTCGAAAAATCAATATGGTCGACTTTAAAAAATCGAAAATATTTTGAAAATCCGCCCCCTTCGAGAAACTCCTAGATCCGCCCCTGTTTTAAGCATTGATATAATAAATTATAAATACATGCGAATTTATTCATAAGCAAAGTGTATTAAATTGCCAAATTTGTCTCATCGATTGAACGTCTGAGGGAAGTTTTGGAGTGGTATGAAAAAAAGTTGATGAAAATGAAGACGGATTTCTGTCGCATATCAAAAGTCTAAAGAGTACAAAAAACGTGATCGACTTCTAATTTAGAAAAAAATACTTCAATTATCAGATTTCCCAATGATATAAAAATTTTACTTATTGGTCCAGTTTTATCAAATTGGGTTAAATTTATCAAAAAAGTGCCAATCATAAGTTGTTCTTAGAAATTTGAAAAGCTCTGAGGGCATCTATTTTTTTTTTGAAATTTGAAAGTTGAGAGTTTTTCAAAGACAAGTTTTTTTTTTTACTTGCGACTCTTTTCCAACTGTCTGTAAGATTTGTTTTAAACAATGGTTTATAATTTTGGTTATATTTGACATCACTGTGTTAGCTAAAAGCTTGGTTAAAATTCCGTCACTTATGCTTCGATTTTTCAGGAAATGCGCAACTCCCAGGTATTTGATCTTCTGGCTAACATGGTAAAGACTGATTAGTTAGTTATTCTCTCCGACTAACTTTCGTTTGATTAACTCATTGATACTCACAAGATCAGATCAATTAAGTCTTCATCTGCGTTTGAGTTGTGTTAGAATGTTATTACGTCCCATCACCACACTTCATGCGAATGATGTTCTTTGGCACTTATTAATTTCTAAATCCACAGAAAGATTGATTTCATGTTAAAATCAAACTACTTATGTTGAAGTAATTAGATAAACGTTAAAAATGGAAGAACAAGATGGTTTCATTTGTCGAACCTTTGAAACGCACGTTTATGCATACACAGGTCTGAGAGGTTGCGTGCATAAACATTGGTATCGATATTCAACGGCAATTGTTGTGACCACTTGTCATTACTTATAATGAATGCGAGCCGGCTTAAGGGCATTACCCCGGTAATAGAAACGTCAGTGTAGACCTTACTACACTACCGTTGTAGACCTTCATGAATCAATTCATTAATCCCGTAATAAACCCCCCCCCCCCAACCAACCCCCCACCCCAACATCATCGTTTCGAGGAAAGCAAGTTACTAGGGTCGATACTCTAACCTTCTATCTAAATACTAAAAATTGTACCCTTTAGCACCATAATATTGTACGCAATTGCACATTTTTCTTAATTTAAGACAGAAAGAAGCCGGCTAAATATGTGATTAATCTGGTCAATTTTTTCACGCTAAAATTAGATTTTGAGTGTTGATATTTTGATTTTTGCTGTTCCACATTCGTTGGAAAATCTGCTCATGATTTCATATAATTGAAACTAGTTAGAAAAAAAAACTCTTGTGTGTTTTTCGCTATTGACCCCTCGTGTGAATAGGGGGAGATTGCTCAATTGACCCCCCTACCTTGGTACCTTAGTTGAAGTGACCTAAACCTGCTGGGAATGAATTGGTGATTGAAATTGCGGTTAAGTTTGTCGAATGTTATCTCATTCGCGGTAAATAGTGAATGACAAATGTTACGTGCTCTTATGTCTAATGATACGTGGATGTCTAATGGTACGTCTATTGCTCCGTTTTTGGCTTGTGTTTGAAAAGAAACACCCTGAACAGAATACCCCATAACGTATATTTTTTATACTGTGCATTTGTTTTACTTTTTGTTATGACTTTCGAAAATGTTTTGTTTCTCCGTACAAATTGCGTGTTTTTAATTTGACGAAGTTTTTAATCCAGTCTGAACACAATGGATGCCCTGAGCTAAAAGCAAAAAATGTTCACCTGTGGGGGGGGGGGGAGACTCCATGCAGGACGACTTAACTAATTTGGGATAATTAACCAGTTTCCTATAGCGCGAGTGGTGGTGGCCGAGTGAGTTAGGCGGGCGATTGTTAACACATATGTCGTGGGTTTAATACCCGCTTCTATCTCGGTCGGGGGGTTCCCAATGTCATCTGTCACTTCAAGGTGGTAACGGTTTTGACGAAATTAATGACAACCCTCTCACCCAGAAAGGCCCTTTTTTTGAGATGACATTTGCAGATGACAGTGACAGATGACATTTGATGACAAAATTTTTTTGAAAGCATGACTTAAGTGGCAGATGACATTCTTTTGAAAGTCATCTGCTTTAAATTTTTTTTGAAAGCATAACTTAAGTGGCAGATGACATTGGATGACAAAAAATCAAAGTTACACCGACTTAGAAATCATTGCAAATTAAATTGAGGCAAGCTAAGTGTTCCAATTAGCTCGGATTTGTTTGGCAAAGTTAATTATTTCATTTGCCAAAAAATCAGTGTACTGCTTTTTTGAAGTTTTAAAATTTTTTGGTCGAATAAATTTTTGGACATTTTACCCTACAGTTGGAGCCGTCACGATTTTGCTTAGATACAAGCTGTCTTTTTTTACTTCCGAAGAAAGTTATGGATATTTGTGCTCGGTTTGGTTTTTTTCCTCGGAAAACTTTCGGCTTTTCAAGTAGTCAATTATAATGGGGTTCTTATAACATCTGAATTCTACTGATATTCTGCTCAAATTTAAAAGGCGGCCTTTTTCATTGTCATTGAACATTGTGAAGATGGTTTTTTGTTTTCTTTTTCAGGAAAAAATTATGTTCAAGTTTGACTTGTGGCGGTTCCACTTAGATTATCACTTTTGAAGTCCATTCAAACTCATTTGCTTTGAGGGAAGGCAACTTACGCTATTGTATTAAGTCAGCGTTTAATTTTTTTTGGGTTTTCCAGCAGAATAAGGGTCAAATGATATATCACATTAAAGCCCTTTCAGTTGTGATTCAAGCGACAACTAAAATGTTTCAAAAACTTGTCCCCGTGTCGACAAACTGGTTTGTAATTTTTGAGATTTAGTCAAATTTCGAGCGAGTAACGCCATTTAGTAACGCTCGCTATATGGTAATGTACTGTTTTTTTAGACTTGTATGATAAATATTTGATTTTACAATAAAGAAAACTAGTTTTGGATGTGTCATTTAGCTCAATTTTTTTAAGGTTAATGAACGTAGTGAGTACTCTTCTATAGGTCTTGCTGATTTATTAAAAGGAAATTTGTTCACGCGCAATTTTGATCTTTCGCGGTTGACTTGTGACTTCTTTTCAACTCAGTGCATTTCCATTGTTAAAAGGAAGGCAAACTCCACTATCGAACAGCAAAAGTGTAAGGGTCACGAAAAACGTGATCGACTTCTAATTTCGAAAATGGAAATTAATTATCAGATTTCCCAGCGAAATAAAAGTTTGATCCAGTTTTCTCAAATTGGGTTAATTTAAAAAAAAGTGTCTATCATAAATTGTTCTACAAATTCAAATCATGTGATCAAGCCTAATTTACTACATTTCTACGCGATCGTGTAGTTTTGGAATCACGCCGCCCACTAAAAAGGATGCTAATTAGAAAAGTAAATAGAAAAAACTTTTTTTCTTTTTTTTTGAATAATTGTCGGAACATTCTGTGCTACTTGCACAGCAACCGAATATTCTTGTTTCTATTCATATTTAAATGCAACCAGCAAATTGTTTACCCGGGATTTGAAATTGTTTGGTTGTAGTATAGATAAACCATAGCCATCAATGTGCAAAAATTCATTATATGTGAAAGCTAGAAGAACGAGAGAATCTGGCGCAAGAGAGTTCTCTCCGTGGTATAAAGTTCGAGAGATTAACTCAAGAGGCACTAACGACGAGGAGCGGATTCAAAGAACGGAACATGCAATTTATAAAACGATGAAAGAGTTCTTTGCTAACATGGCCTATCTTTTGTAGGCCTTCTGTTGGTTCGAGGGTGCCATGGCCGAGCACTCGGAGATGTTCTGGAGCATGTTTCTGGTGGACATGAATGCTGCTCTGGAGGTGCAGCCGCCCGACTCCTGGGACTCATTCGAACTGTTCCAGGTGCTCAATAACTGGCTGCAGACCAGCAGTGAGTAGAAAATCATGCCCTTCTGTCAAAAAAAAACTTATTTAAGATGATGGTTTCAATGCAAGTGATATCCAAGTTTTTCTTTTCGTGAAAGATAGTTATTGAGATGTCACAATGTAATTGAATAGCAATTATGATGAAATAGCTGCCAGGTATTTTTCTGTCTTCGTATTTGAGTTCAAACTGGCCAAGTGTATATATAGTTAGAGATATGCAGAAGAAGTTAAGTGGGGCGTCGAAATTAGTGGCCTTTTCTAGACATGCTGCGCAATGGGAAGTTCCACACTCAGATGTGTGACCTGTTTGCTCCTCAGCTGATCAGATATGTGGACCTGATGGAGACCTCGATTGCACAGTCCACTCAGAAGGACTTCGACAAGGAGAAGTGGATCACTCCTGATGAGTGAGTCATACTTGTTTTCATAAATTGATTTGTTTTAGTTAGGGTTATTTTCTTGGCAATTAAGTGATACTGAATTATTTTTCAAATGAGAGTTGAAACAGTCGAACAGACAGAATTTAATTCAAAAGAGCAAATGACGTCTTCTAGAAAATTTTTCTTGCGAGCTATCTCTTCAAATTTTCATCCTAAATATTTTCTACAATAGACGTATGCCTGCTCTAAATAACTCTGTATGTCTGAGTCCGATGTTTTCGCAAGTTTTTTCCATTTTCGCTAGTTACTTTTTTAGCAAAATGTTAACCATGTGCCCAAATATATGCATAGGTGCCGTGGTACAAAATGAGGTATAATAAGTTCCAGTTTTGTTTCGCAGACGTCGCAACCAGCACAAGGGCGAGACTTTGGGAGTGGAGCCGAGAGGTGCGATTGCGAGTGACAACCTCATCCACAAGCTATGTGCTCTGCAGGACTTCATGCACGACATCAACTGGCCCGATCTGGAGTTCAGAGACCACCTGGACCAGAGGCTGAAGCTGCTGGCTGCTGATATGGTGGAACAAGCAGTGCGAAAGTGAGTGGCTCTTTCTACTATCATCAACCACCATAGTTTTGTAGTTAAAATGTACCACTGTACAAAATGTATCGGCTCGGAATGCAATTGTTGTGAGGCTTCGCATGCACGCCAATGGACTAATCACAAGCACATTTGATTTTGATAGAGATCCTTGAAAAAGTGCAAGTTGCGTATATGGAGTGGAATACAAGGGCCGGACGAAGGACTTTATGGAATTTCGCAGCAGATTAGTATTCTCCCCTGTCATCCCATAGTAAACATGGTTATACTTGCTTAGAACTGAGAGTTGCTCTATTTGAGAGTTGAGAGAGAAGTTCTCTATTTTGATCGTCTGAAGTTTTCAACTGAGTTAACATCCGACCCCCCTAAAACGCTTCGTGGAGACTTTGAGACGATGGAAGATTCCGCTGTGATGTTTTCGCTCAGTCTTGACGACGACGTTTTTTCCTGTTTTTCTTATTGCTTTGCCGATGGCTCAGTTGGTGTATTTCTTTTTGTTTATTTTGTATTTATTTATTTTGGTGTTTTTGTAGGACAAAGACGCATTTCGACAACCACATCGCGAAGGGAGGAACAGGCACTGGCTATCTCATCCCCAACAGCATCTGTGTCATGATCAACTGTCTACTCGACTGCGATGATAAGGTTACCTTTGGCACTCCTTCCCTCTGGCTCCTCTTTTTGTTTCAACCATTAATCGCATTATAATTACCAAATTGTGATAAGCTTCAGATTTGTCAAATGACTATTGTATAGCTGAGGCCTTCGATGTATTTTTTCGTCAATCTATGAGTGAGTTAATTATGCATTTAATTACTCATATTGACCGTTTTCTACTTAAATGCAAAAATAACAGTTAAGATGCACACGGTCTGTCGCGTGCTGAATTTACATTATAAATATCAATGTATGCAATGTTTGATCTCAATTACTTGAAGTTATAAGTTCAAGATGACAAGTTGTTTCACTCTTTCAACTTGGACTCCTTGCTTACGTCCATACTTGTACTGGACTCGTCCTCCTCTCTCCGGTGTGTTTCTGGGTCTGGCTTGATAGAGATACTGTCTCTCATAGTCTGGTTGTCTTCTGGCAGGTTGTAGATGTCCTCATACAGTATCACATGATCCTCTTCTTTTCTCATGCGAAGATCTGCGTCTGTTTTTCTATAAAAGTGAATTCCATTTATATAAACAATTTAATTCATTTAATTTTTTATTGAACTTGCGATAAGCAAGGGTGTTGCAATCGGGTACTAGACTTTTTTCCCCGTAAATAACTTAAGGCACAGGACTCACTCCTGGTCCTGGACTCCTTCACTTCTTTGTCCTAGTTGCAAATCAAATTCTCTTCCTCTCTGTTGCAAATAATAAGCATGTTTTGAGTTTCCTAGTTGTTTGAATATCCCAGCTTTTCGAATTTTGCTTTTGTGTTGGTTGTAATTTTTCCATCTCGATTTGTTTAAAAAAATGTATTTTTTTTGTCTTTTTTTTCGGCTAAATAGTTTTCGGTCTATATTTTATGGGCTTTGTAGCCTCACGTTGAGCCGATTAAATATCAAAATTTGTGTGTGTGTGTGTGTGCGTGTGTGTTTTGAGGGAGTGGTAAACTTGAAATTTTTTATTTGTTTCGAACTTTTTTCAAACATTTTTCGGATGTTCTTTTTTGTCCTTTTCCGGCTTGATAGGTTTTGGGCCTTTTTTATATCGCGTTAGTTGCCTCATATTGATCCTTTTGATTCACAGAAAGTTTTCTGTGTGCCTGTGTGTGTTGTAAGGGAGGGGGAACTTAAAATTGTTCATTACTTTCAAAAGTTTTGCTGAAACTTTTATTGTACTTCGTCTTTTGACCTTTTTTTCGGCTTAATACGTTTTGGCCTGTTTTTTATTGCCTTAGTGGCATCATAAAACGCCCTTTTGAAGAGAAAAATTCTTTCTGTGTGCGTGTGTATTTTAAGGTAGAGGTGAACTTAAAATTTTTTATTATTTTCAAATTGTTCTGAACTTTTTTCGGATTTCAGTTTGTCTTTTGCGGCTGTCTAGGTTTCGGCCTATTTTTTGTCGCCTTAGGTGCCTCTTTTTGCACCGTTTGATGAACAAAACGTTTTCTGTGTGCGTGTATATATTTTGAGGGAGAGGGGAACTTGGAATTTTTTATTAGTTTGAAATTTTCTTGGAACTTTTTTGCAGCTTTAAGGGTTTCTGCTCAGATATTTTCGGCATTGTTACTGCTTGGTAAGTTTTCTTCTGGTCCTAATTTTGCATTATTTTGTGCGAAAATGCGTTTTTTCAAATCTATTTTTATACATTTTGATAGATCTAGTTGCATGTATTATTATAGAATTTCGATATATTTTTTTGCCTGATGGTTTTATGACTTAGTGTTGTCGACTCAGCTCTCGTTTTTCTAGATCGCTTTCTCAAATGTAACATCGTTGGAAGTCATTTTAAATAAAGCTTGCAAATCATATTCATTTGCAAAAAAAAGAAGGAAAATTGCGCATAAGTGGAATCGGCGCAGAAAAACTTGAAGATTTCTAATTTGGAAATTAAATTTTGTTTTTCAGATTTCCCTGAGATAATAAATTCACTTATGGATCCAGTTGTCTTGATGCGGGTTGATTTTATGAAATAAGTGTTGTCATCAACTAAGTGCTGTCATAATTATTTCGCGTAATTCAAAGAGCTTTAAGGTCATCTAATGTTTTTCAAATTGGATAAATATATCGTTTTTTTTTTGGCTACTTCGCCTTCATTGACTTTTTTCTAAACTAAAAACTAGCCAAGAAAATTCAAATTAAATTTAGTTTCAAAACATTTTAAATGAAAGGCAATACAGAAAGGTGCAGATAGGACTTATTTTTACGTCTAGAAAAAAGCCAACATCAATTAGAAAATTGTTAATGAGCTCGAGAAAGTACAAAACGGCTGATATCATAAAAGCGTGCTCAAAGAATCAATATGGCTTTGAAGTATTTAAATTTCGAAATGAATATTTTGTTCAATAAAACTAACGAATTTGGGTCAACTGGGTCATTAGGTAATTGTTTTTCTTCGGTTGATTGAAAAATCATATAATTGAAATTCTTTTGCAACTCAGGCATTCAATTTTTTTGCGCCATTTGCTCTTTTAATTTTAACGAGAGTAATTTATCAAATGAATTTTAATTCGAATAAACGGTAAATCAAGGTCAAACCGTGAACGAATAAACTTAAGCGTGAGCAAATTATTTGAACTTCCCTGGAAGAAATGAAAACAAACGATCTAAAAATTATTTTCGCTCATTGACATTAGCCGCTTCCAAGTACTCATTTTTGGATTTATTAAAATAGATTTTGCGCCTTTTTTAAAAATCAGAAAGAGCTTTGTGAAATTCATGACTTGGCGGAGAGACTGGAAAAAAAAGGTTTAATTGTCAAAAGTGAAATACTTTGTTTGTTGGAGAACAATTTAGTTTTTATGAAAGTTTAAGTTTCAGTGTACACGTCTAATTTTTTGCAACCAACTCATTTTTAAGTTTTTAAGAGCCAATAATTGAAATGAACACGTTTGAGTAGGTCGTGTGCTAAAATATTCACGCTCAAATTGTTTTTGCGGTTGACTGTTTATTTTTTTTTCATAATCTTTTTAGTGGAAATGGCCCATAGTGGAGATGGTCTTCCCTGAAACGCACGTTTATGCATGTCTCAGGTCTTCCCCCAGCATATTTTGATAATAAAACCAATTTATAAACTTTTTGGTTTTATTATCAAAATATGCTGGGGGAAGACCTGAGACATGCATAAACGTACGTTTCAGGGCCTGAAACGCACGTTTATGCATGTCTCAGGTCTTCCCCCAGCATATTTTGATAATAAAACCAAAAAGTTTATAAATTGGTTTTATTATCAAAATATGCTGGGGGAAGACCTGAGACATGCATAAACGTGCGTTTCAGGGCCTGAAACGCACGTTTATGCATGTCTCAGGTCTTCCCCCAGCATAATTTGATAATAAAACCAATTTATAAACTTTTTGGTTTTATTATCAAAATATGCTGGGGGAAGACCTGAGACATGCATAAACGTGCGTTTCAGGGAAAAATCTCAATAATAAAAAATTCTTGAATTTCAAAGGACATTATGTGTAGTGAAACACTTATATAGGCCGTGATTTTTTATGAAAAAGTCAAAACTATGATGAAGCTAAAACTTTACTATTGGCGATTTGACTTTTTAATCCATTTTTTTGTTGAAAGGAAGGTAAATTACGCTCTTCAATTAACGCATGGAATATACGCAAAAAAATGGTTAAATTCTTTTAGCGTTAAAATTGGTTTTAAGATTCCCCAGAGTAAAAAAAAATTTAACCTATTGATCCAGTTTTTTCTAATTAGGCTTATTTTAAAAAAAAGTCAATCTTTTTTGTTGATTGACGTTTCTAATTGTCTATTGGCTATGTTTATTCATCTAAATTAACATCAGTAGTCCATACTCAACCGATGTTGTTCGGAATTCAATATTTTGATTAAGACAGTCGAAACAAAAGTAGATCAACTCGCACCGCGTAGTTTTTTAGTATTCTGTAATCTATGTTTTTGAAGTTAGTTCATTTGAATGCAAGTTTTACATAAAGTACTCGTTGTTCAAGCTTCTGAACTAGTGACGGAATATTTGCGCTCGTGTTGATTTTTTCAGACAATTTTGTCTTTTTAAGAAGCAATTTTTGAAGTTTTTTTTTCAACTATCTGAAATTTTTTTGAAAATTTATGTTGATTTGAAAGTTACTGATTTGGAATAATAAAGCGCGATTCTTTTCATAATAATCGTGAGCGGTGAAATAATTGGCTCAAAAATCATTCCATTTTGATATTAGGCACGTTTGTGGATCTTATCAATATAGTGAAAGGTTTTGAAAAGTTTAAAACCAAAACTATTTGCAATGATACGAGTAGTCTTGTTTGAGATGAAAAAATAAATCCAATTATTCTAATTTTGTACAATCACATATCTGATTGGAGCACGGTGATATTCACTGCCAAAGGTTTTTAAGATTATAAAAACATGATTGCTTGAATTTGGGCAAAGCTCTTAAGATCTCGATGGCCTTTCGAATTTCTCTGATTTTTTAATAAAAGTTTTCAGGTATCTTTGTTCACAGTTCTCAGGTATCTAGGACTTGTAAATTTTTTTTATCTCGAGGTACATAGCAGAAATTTATTAGTTTTACTTTTTATTCCCTTTTTCAATTTTTGACCCTTCTAGAGCTATTTTTGCCATTTATCGCTTGTGTTTGCGAAGTGCAGCTTCCTTTCTGTAAAAACAATTTTTTTTGAAAACTATAATATCGATCCGGAATAAGTTGGTAGGGTTAAAAAACGCACGAGGATTAATATCCCGTTACTTTATCCGAAATATAGATTTTTTACAATGAAAATATACTTATACTTAAAAAGAAACGAGAACGACCCGTACTTAGAGAGAATTTTCTTCGGCAGCAAGATTAAGAAGACCATGAGTATATGTCCTATGGGGAAGGCCACCGCCACAAAGTAGAGGATGCAGTCACAGTAGGCTTTTTTCAAGTTGTCATCGCCCAATGCAGAAACTAAACAAAACGGCATCTAAAAATTTGGTAGTTTCTCCATGTGCTGAAGAACGGAGTGAATCAATTTTGATTACTGATTCTTTACTTTAAATAGTGAGTGGTCTGGATTATTATTATATCATTTCGGGCTGATGGTTTCAATCATAGATTAATTATGAATAAGTTTCAGCTGTAATTTCACTTGCGAGAGAAAATGTATTTATTATCGGTAACTCGATTTTTTAAACCCGATAAATCTGTAAGAAATTGTCTTTGCTTATTTTCATGGAACCTTAATATCTTTTAGACCCATTCTCAATTAGTCTAGCGGTAAAGCTTGTTTTATGGATCTGGAACAACTTGTTTTTTCTTTATGTATGCAATGATTTTTTGGAAATCTTGAACTGTCGGACTATCGTTTAGCTGTTTTTTTATCGGTCGACTTTCAAAGTATCGAATCTAAATTTTTCGAGGCATCACTTTCCTTCTGATTTGAGCAATTCCAATTGTAATTGAAACTCGTTCTGTAATTTGTAAATTAACTAACTCTGATTTTGTATAATTTCGTCTTTTTCGCTTAGTTACCTCATTTTCCGTAGTTTGAATGAAAAAAATATATAGTGTTATGGTTTTTGTGTTAGGTGTAATAGGGTGAAAAAGTTGTTCTATGAGGTAACATTTTGTTTTCAAATTGAGTTGTGTGTAGCCGCTCCTTTGAAGGCTTTGAATGCTTATTTATTGCTGGTTAATGTGCTTCTTGTCATGTTTTCATCAAAATGAACATAATGCGAGACTTTAATATGAAAAACATATGAATTGTTTCTAGATATTTTTCAGCTCATTTATTCGACAGTGGTTTCCATCCCATGTCCTGTCCGCTAGCTTGCAATGTTATGTTTGTCGAATATCGCGAGTGTTGCGAAGCTCCGCTTCTCTCTCTATGTTGAATCTGAAATCTTCTCCTCTTGCATTGTAACGTTACTGTGCTTGAAACTTTGAAACTTACAAAAGATTGTCTCATTGATCGAATTTATTTAACGATTGTCTTATGGATCGAATTTTCTTTACCATGACTGATTGAATGAATATTTTTTTTATTATTATTTTTTGACTTCAAATAGCTAATTTATCCGTCTCACAGTCAGAAGATAAGTGGTTTGAGACCCACTGTAATCCATGATTGAAGCTTGCGAGGGAGAGTCAACATTTGCCAGTCCAGAAAAAAAGTGAAAAAAATGCACGTTGTTTTCAGCAAGAGGCTCAAAAGCGGAACAATGGTCCTTTCTTCAATAAAAAGATAAATAGTCTGGATACAAATTGAAGAGGGATAGCCGGTTACTGTGCAAGTAGCACAGAATGTTCCGACCATAGTCTTAAAAAAATCAACTAAGTTTTTTCAAATTTATGTTGTTTTTTTTTCAAAGTGGTGTGATATAAGGAGCTGAGCAAAAAAATGGGAGTTAGGTTTATTCAACAGTCATAAAAAAATAAGCAAATTGAAAAACCATTTTTTATGGAAAAATTACTAGAAAAACGAAAAAATCAAAAGAAAAAAGTTTTTGAAGTTTTTTGAATTTTTGAAAAAAAAAATTGATTCCAAAAAAACGCTGAAATACTCAAAGTAAACTAACGTTACCTAAGTAAAACTATGTTTTTAGGTTTTAAATTAAGCTATTGTAAGCTTTTAAGCAATTAAAATAAGACTGCCCGCTCGTTTTATTCGCTCAAATTAAGACGAAAAATCAAAAATTTCATCGGGATATTTTTTGAAATTTTTTTAATGTGGTTCGAATCACGACTGTAAGGGCTTTAATATGATCTAGCACTCAACCCAGTCCGATGATTATTTGTGGTACCTAAAACACTAAAACACCCGAATACAAAGTTCCCCCGCTTTTTCAATGGTAGGAACAACAACCATTTGAATGAAAGAGTGGTTGAACAGTAAACAGTATATTTATTAAAACAACGATTTGTCTTTTACTATTGCTATTTGTCGCTTACCAGAGAGTTGTAACTCATCGAAACGGTAGAAACTCCAGAACAAGCCCTGCAGAATCCAAATAAACAGGATACTATGCAGAACTATAAGCGTCAGTTCGAGCCAGTTCATGCGGCTGCTTCTGTTGGTCCTGCCCAAGATGCTGGTGTCGTACTCGAACTTGTACCAGATCCAAGTGAGACAGTGAATCACAACTGAGAAGCAGCCGAACATGAGTGCGAATACGGGAACCATGGGTTCGAGAGGACAGGAGTCTAATTTGGTCATTCCTGAATCAGAGTCACTGATATACTGGTGTTGCTTTATATAACATCTAGTAATCGAAAAATTCAACCACTTCGAATGCTTTTTTTTGTTTTGATTATGGTTCTAACTGGAACCTTGCCGGGCAGATTTCGCGAAATATGCAACCTTGAAACAACGCATTTTGTATGATGCATTAGTTAACTGTGTATTTGGAAAGCATCTGCGGCTCAACTTACTTTTCTTAGTTTTTTTTGCTCAGCGTATGGAAAACCTTACGTGAAAAACGATCACGCATTTTATCAAGTTTCAGTTTTTTAGTGTTGCTGTATTTGGTAATCAAACTAGATAAAAATATATTATACAATTATAAGAGATCTAATGGACAGAGTAAAAACAGGACAGAGTCTAGTAAATAGATTTTAACTGGCCTTCGATTGCGGCCATGGTGGAGCAGACTATGCAGAGGGGGGATGCTGCGTAGACTGTGATCTCCAGCATCTGTTCACACTTCTCCCTCTTCTTGCTCTTTTTGTACCTCAATTAGAAGAAACCAAAGACTGACAGATAAGAAAAGAAACGTGTCGTTAAACATGGGTGATCGCATAGACAGGGTTGTCAAAAAATGACTACTATAACTAGGGTTTTGATGTTTTGGTGATCTATTCTCACGATTGGCTCATCGCTGGTAATGAACGAGGAAAAAGAGCCCTACGATTGTGTTTTTTGCACTGTTTTTGCAGTTTTTATCAAAGTCAGGGACTGTGACACGAACAAGCTAATTCCTTTGGCCGAGAACCAAGAAAGTTCTCTCAATTTTAACAAGTTTGTTTAAAGTTTCGGGTAACGAGCTAGGTTTGATCTTATTTAATGATTAGATTGTTTCCGATTTTATTCATTATGAACTAGTAAGTGTCTGAACCTGAGCAGTTGTTGTCTTTTGTTGTTCATTACTGACTCCGAATAACTGTATAGACTGTTAGTGGGTGTCATCCTCATCATGGCGTCTGTCCTCCGAGGCGTGACCACTCTGCTCCTATTCTGACTTGTTTCTTCGTGGATGTCCGCCTCAATTGGCTTCATTGCGCTCTTTTTCTTTTCCCCCCGATATCACAATTGTTATCTCTTTTTTTTTGCCCCTATATCGTTGATGTTTTTGTTCAGCCTTGATCTAGGCATGTATGAAGGTTTTTAGCAATCTCAACCTGCGACTTTTCTATGGACCAGTCCACTGCTTAAGAGGTTTCTTTGTAATGACGACTTCGTGTCATTTCAAGCATCTTTGGTCTTCTGGGTAACCCTGTAGCGCTACTCGTTAAATGATTTCAAATCTTATGGTAAAATAGAGCCGATGCTTTTGCGATCTTTCAACATAACTGATTACATCATTAAACTGATATTTCGAATGTCTGTTTACTGGTGTAATCATGTATGTTGAAAGATAAAAAAAAAGCATCCATTTTACTTACCATATGATTTGACACCATTTAACGAGTAGTGCTACGTGGTCACAATTTCAGACATTTGGTCTCGGATTTCGCAACAGGTTTGTGAGAATCCATGTACTAAAGCTTATGTACAGAATCCGTCTACTTGTAAGCACAAAAGTGTGCTTTACAAAAATGACTAGGTCTAGTAATGGGCAAAAATTACAAACCCAGACCTCGTTGTGTACTTGAAAAATGGGAGAAAAAGGAAAAAGAGTGTTGCCTGTTGTCCCTGTCCTTGGTTGCTGTACATGGTGGCCTTGGGCGCGAACTTGACCGAATGCTCCGAGTGCCTTCTCTTCACATCCTCTTCCATTGGTATAACAGGATGAGGGTATAACAGTTTATTTCAGTCTGTTTTGGGTATAAATTCGTTTTCCCATTCTGAACCCAAGCAAAGAATGCGACAAATAAATTTGAAAAAATAAAACACTATTTGAAAGGTATTTTTGCAATGTTGCTTGGGTCTATTATGGGAAAATTTCAAATATTACGAGGACTTATATCAGCTTGTTTTGGCTTCAAGAGTCGTGATATGATGAAAGGTCCCTGTAGCTATGTTTCCAAATAAAGCTATCGCCGGATTATAATGTGTAGTTTTGAAGCTTGCTATTTTATGAGATAATTAAATATTCTATGACAATTTTTGGTGACACGTGCAGTTTGAGAAACGGGGACTTAAATTCCTAAAAAAAACACAGCATCCAAGACTTTTTCGTCTTTTGGAACTCGAAATTTGAAGCCTTGAAACGAAACGAGCATTGCTTCGTATTTTTGAAACTGTTTTCTGGGAAATTGGAATTGAAAATAATTGAAGTAATCTTGTTTTAGGCCGACAAGCTGACGCGTGGACGTCAAGACTCAGTGAGTGATGTTTGTTTGTCTTGTTTTTTTTTATTTTGAAACAAAAAGAGAAATCAAAACGTAGTTTAGTTTCAAACCAAATGCCAAACCTCGCTGTAATGTAGCGTAAAATACCTGTTCTCATGCTTAAATTGAAGTTTTTATCTTTTCATGAAATATAAGGTCTTCTTGATAATTGTCAAATTTTTCATGTCACAGTGAACAATCTACGAAATTGTTTTTGAAAATTTTGATTATTATTTTGTATCTACAAGAGCCCAATTTCTTATAAATCTGGGTTCTTTTCCAGTCCCCACCCCATTAATTTTTTCTAAAATTCATTATACGAAAGTCTATTTAAAATGACTTTTAATCTTAGAAACTGCAGTAAAACGTGTCAGCGTGAACAGGTGAACACATTTCTAGAACATTTCTAACATGCAAATTGCCGCGTGAACAATTTTTGAACATCTTTGTTTTGTAATTTAACAAGGGGTGGGAAACTGGAAAAGAGCCTAAATCTGAAATTTGGACTTCATCTTTTTGTGTTTTAGAACCAATACCATGCACAAGTGCCAGAACTAATTAGGACCACTCTTGGTGAATGCAAAGTGGCCGTCGCAGAAAAGGTAAGAGCACTCTCTCTCTCTCTCTCTTTTTTCTCTCCTTCAACAGAGACAGACTTCAACTCCTCCCACTTGTTGTCTCCTTTGTTATCCTTTGATTTATGTCGACTGATAAGTATGTAAAAATCACTTGGGGGTCATATTTCACAATTAGTGTTTTGTTTGTTATGCCATCAAAAGTGAATAAGACATGTCAGTTTTGAAAATTGTACGTCACAGTTTTGCTGACAACAACTTGGACTTAAACCGAGATAATTTTGGAGAAGTTGATTGGGAAAACAACTGATTTGTTTTCCAACTTAATCGAACTGGATTTTCTGATAGAGCAAATGCGCAATATTTACAAAAGCCAGCTTGTGTGTTATAAAATCAGTCCTTTTTTTCAACGAACCTAGCACATAAAAGGCTAAAGCTTAGGCGTAAGTTAAAGAGCATCTATAGGCTTTAAATTATAGAGCTATATCGGCTTTTTTAAAGCGCATTCTTTCACGCACACTTTTCAGCTAGATATCGTTTAGCAACATAGTAGAAACTGAGACGCCATTAATGAGTGCTTCACACAAATGACTTTTGAGTGGGCAGTACGAGTCCAAATGCCGTAATCTTAGATATTTTTTGTATGTTGCCGTTGATTTTGTTCCGATTTTCGTTGAGAGTAAAAAAATATATATGCTTGAGAAGGTCTGAAATTCAAACCAATTTTTGAAAGAGTGTTAATATGGCGATTGAACCTGGAATCTACATGCTCCCAGTGGAGTGTTTTACATCTTGAGCTGTAAGGTTACATAAAGTACTCGTTCAATTCTTTGAATATTTATCTATGACGCTGAAAGAGTAATACGAATTATTATCTCGCCCGAAATTTTATCCGAATTGAAATCAGGCAATCTAATTGGTCTCGCCTGGGTGTGAAATAGCCGGTAGAATGCGGGCGAAACAAAGGGCAGAAATGATTTTCTTGTTGCATTTGACTCATTTAATTCTTTTATAGACGAACGGCCGCTTAGTGTTTTGTTACGAACCTTCTTTTTTCTGACCTGACTCGCAAATAAAAATGTTCATTAAAGAGTTCACCTATTTGGAAATTTCACTGTAGCTATGAAAATTGCATAGCATCTGTTCTCTGCTTTATTTTTGACTAGTGTTTGGCTTTTACCTATTAAGCTTCCTCGACTGAGTGTTAAGGGTGTGAGACTCCTAGTCTCTAGATCGCAGGTTTAAATCTCGGACGTAGCCGCTTTTTTTATTAGTATGAGGCTAATTTCTACTTTTTTCTTATTGCACTTTATATAGCTGTCGTATTTTCGCTAGTTTTTGCGAAGCGAACTTTCGCCTCTGTGCCCATTTTTCTAAGATACTGCGACCACAATGTAACTGGTTTCAGGATATTTTTTACTTGAAATAACTAAAAGTCACTGAACGTATTGAAGACTCTAATATAGGCCTGGTGATTTTTTTGTTTTATAGGACTTAGTGAAAAATCTTAAAATGTTCTGAAAGCTACAGATGTGCAAGCATACTTATTAATGCATTTTTATGTATGCTTTTAATGCATTGCAATCTCCAAATACGAACGTGGAAATGACGCGAAAAAAAAACGTTCTACTTTCGAAAGTGGAATTTAATTGTAAAGTTCCGAGCGTTATAAAACTTTTTACCTACTAACCCAGTTTATAGGTCAAATTGAGCTAGCCTAATCAAAAAAGTTTCAATCATAAATTCGTCTTAAAGTTCAAAGAGGGTTAAGGTCATATGTTTCTTACTTTGAATTAAAAACTTGAAGTTTTCAAAAATAAGTCAGTCTTTTTCTGTTTTCTTGTGTTCATTGACTTTCAAGTGTATGTTGGCTATGTTTAGACTTGCGAAGCAAAGTGTTGTAGTACGAACTTGCTCTTTTCAATCTAAGTCGCAAAAAAGTGCTACTTTTGGTGGCACTTTTAAATTGGTAGCCTGCGGTAGCAGTATAATATCATATGTGCTTTGACATTTGATAAGTAAAAAGTGTACACAACTGATGCATTTTTTAATTCATCAAATGAGCCGAAGAAATTATTTGTTTCAATTAACACAGCTGATGCGTTTTTAATTCATCAAAACAACCGAAAAGTTATTTGTTTCAAACAGCAATACAATGATAAAAAGCTCGATTTCAGAAATTTTCCAAGTCAATAGAACTCGCAAGTTTTTGGAAATGCGTAATATATAAATAATTTGGCTTTGTGTTTTCCAATTTATTACATGCAAACATGTGTCGTTTTGTATTTGGTGCTACTTTTGCTGCATCAAATTGGCAATTTAGTAGCATATCTAGCATATTTTCGCCTCTGTGTTTGAATAGAACCTGAAACCTAAGCTCAGGAATAATTATGTGCCGCTTATTTATGATTACTTCATGTACAAATTGAATACTCTTATACAGTTCTTTCGGTTTTTTATATTTTTTTTTTAAGGAAAAAAATTATATTTTGTTCACGCTCATTCAATTAAGATTTGAAAAACTATTCGTAAGATAGGTTTATTCTAGTAGAAACATTAAGCCCGACTCTGAAACAAGATTAACAACTGTTATAAATATTAACACTGACCGTAATCACACTTTCCGCCTTTTTGGCTGTGTGCGAGGCAGGTTCCGTGAACGTCACTTTTTTTTTTTTTTTCTTTTTTTTCCAGTGAACAACGGTTTTAACAAAATTATTAACAACTGGTAATTTCAACACAAACACAATTAATTACTTTCCGCACGCGGACGCGTCAAGTTGGCACTTGCATCTGATTGGACTATGAAATGAATACATTATCACACAGTTAGCACCTTGGCAACAGTAACAAAACCAAGCTGGTGCTCACGAAGCCAGCAAAAATACGTCATTAAGGCATGGAAATGAATACATTAACATACAGCTAATAGAATGACCGATATAATGAGAGTTAAGTCACATCTCTTGGTTCACGGAAAACTATCTGTGATCCCTTTAAACAGCAATCATTTGTCGATACAGCGAAAATCGAGTTCGTTGGTTCTCATAGCAGTTGCTAATTCTTTCCTGGCTGGACTTCTTGATTTTGTTAGCGCATCTGCGAGCTGTAACTCAGTAGGAATCCACGAAATGGCAGATAAAACTCCAGAATTGATTGTTTCTCTCAGGTAACCGACGTCCATTCTGAGTATCCGTTCAGAAACGGATTTTGTTGAATAGACGGACTCAATCAGGGACTTATTGTCACAATAAGCATAGATGGGTATGCGCTTTTCAGCCGTATAAACTTCAGAAATCACATTCTGACAAAGAATGGCAGCATCAACGGCTTCAATGCAAGCTAAAACCTCGGCGCAGAGAGTGCTCCGTGCAATGCGCCGCAGCTTCTTGCTTTGCCACGCAACTAAGCCGCATTTTCTAGTTTCCTCGTTGACCAGAAAAACTAAAAAACCACCATGGGTACCACCGTCTGAATTGTTGTTCAAGGTTGCGTCTGAAAAAACAACAATTCTCCAGTTTCCAGGTTCGCCAAGATTTGGAAAATTTAACGATAGATCCTCTAATTTGACACGTCTTATGAGCTTGTTGACTCGATTCAGATCTGAGACGGTACTACATCCAATATTCCCAATGAGGAAAGACACTTCATATAAAATATCTGGTCGAGTTCTCATAGCGGGCCATAGTAGTTGTCCCAGTGCTCCTCTGAGAATTGACTTCTGGTACGGAGTGGTCTGCGAATTCATTGAGCCACTTTGTGAGATATTCTGGGGGAGCTCTTCTAGTCTTGATACGTAACTGCTCTGATTCAAAACCATCGATTGAACGTCAAGAGATAACTCAACACCAAGATAGGTGTGCGGTAGTGCTTTTTTAGAACCTATGTCGAACACGTGGCTCAATTTTTCAACTACTTCAGAGAAAAACTGGACAGTTCCGATAGCCCAGAAGTCATCCACGTGAACGCACAAGCAGCCGGAGTCTTTCCAAATGAAAAGTGTGTAATCGGTATTGGAACGTACACCCCCCAAGGCGGACAATTCAATAAAAACTCGGTCGTACCAGTGTCTAGCTGCATCTGGAAGGCCATAAATGCACTTTTTGAGTTTCCATAACTTGCCTTTCTCAAACTCACGAGGCGGTTTCAAGAAAACTGTGCGTTTCAGTGCAATTCCTTGTAGAAAAGCGGTTTTAACATCTAGAGACGTGCACTCTGTCCAATTGGCTCTGGATGAATGATGTGATAAAACAATTCTGAACGTCTCGTTCATGCAAGTTGGGGCATCTTTCACGGAATTAACCCCTTCAACGTCTTGATAACCTCTTGCAACGAGCCGGGCTTTATGTCTACCGTCCGGTTTGATGCTCAAAACCCATTTTGAGTCAATGGGGGTGATTCCTTCGGTACTGTCTACTTCTTCGTAAACGTCATAGTGCTTCCAAGCGTCAACTTCTTCTCGTTTTGCTTCATCGAACGACTCAGATCCTTCAGTGCAAGCCAATACGACCCCGCAGTGCTCGTTTATCGGCTCCCAGTGACGTACAGCTGCAAAATCAATGGATCTTTGATTTCCACATAGTTCCATTGGTTCAACCAACTCGACGTTGAACCAAGATTTGTTTTTGCCTGTAGCTTTACCGGCACGACTGAGCACTAGTGCATCAACAGGAGTTTCAAAAACATCATCTATAATTCTGACTTTAGACTTCACACGAGGTAACTCTCTTCCAGCATTTGCCACTGTGCCTGTACTTGCTTCTGGATCTTTTGGCTCATCTGAACGGACTTCTAGCGTGTCGGAAACCCTAGGCAGGGTGTCACATTCAACTGTTATGCTCGGTGAAACATCGGAAACGCCTTCGTCAACAACGGAATCTGCGATAGCACTACCGATCGTCTGACTTCCGCTACGCAGCGGTTTTGTCTGAGCTCCGCCCAAATCGCAGTCGTCTTGTATATGCAGCGTTGATTGTTCAACAGCCTTTCTCAACTGGGTTTGATGGACACGGTATACGGTTCCCCCG